TTTTTTAAAATCACGCATTCAAAGACACTTTTTGAGGAAAATCTCAGTACTGTATCACTCAGTCCCTGAACTGAGGAGCACCTCTTTCAGTGACCAGTCATCATATTGTTGAAGATGTTCACATTTTTAAATGCTAAAGAGGATTTTACCCCATGTGCTAAATGAGAAAGAATACCTGGTGCTAATACATGCTGCACATGTTAAAGGAAAAATGTTTGTTTACTTACAAAATAGATTTAGTTGCTAAATGCACCCAGACTCATCTTTTTCCTCATTTTCATTATTTTTTATGAGCTCAAATTTTCAGTTTATATGTAAACACTGGCATCAGTCATTGTCAGTCATTATCACAGAGGTTGCTTTGATATTGCTTTAACATCATAGCTGTGAACTGCAAACTGTTACAGTGATGAAATCCATCATACATCACTACCCTGAAAAAACAGCTCACGTCTCTGCAAAGTCTTTTTAAACATTCATTATGGGGACTACAAGCCCATAAATAAATAACATAGTCATATTTGTTAAACACTTTTGAGTACAGTTTGTTGTTGAAAAAAAGGCATCCTTTGATTGAAGAAAGGATGTACAGTAATAATAGACATGCAAACAAAAGCTACTTAAAAGCCAGCAGCAGACAGCTGCAAGTAATACATATGCAGACGTATTACTTCAGCCTGGAGTAATGTATGAAACTACATTACAAACTAAAGTGCAGAAAACAGATCACAGTTTAAGAAAAAAGTTTGTTACTACCATGTAAATAATAACTGAAATTAACATCCGTTGTCTCACGCCCTCTCAACATTATATATATATATATATATATATATATATATATGCACATACATCATTGTTGTGTGTGTGTGCGTGTAGAAGAAACTACAATGCACATCGACTATATTGGCTGGGTGCGAACTGTAGTAGGGTATGCTTAGTGACACATTATAACATGATGTAACAGTGTCCATAACATACGTGAGTGATGGAAATGTTCTAAATCCTAGAAATTAGTTTAATAATAAAATAATATAGAGACAGATTATATATATATATATACACACATATATATATATATAACACACGACTATCTATATTTGGGGACAGTACTTGTTTTCAAGAATGTACAAGTCTATATTCTATTCTATTATTTTTATATCCATCTACTGCTTTATATTGTAGCGCTGCAGAATTGTACACAAAGTAGAGAATTATGTATGTTTAATTGTATACAAAACAAAAGAGAATGGTGCACCACACTGTACTGTATATCTCATTGTCTATTACACAGAGAATCTCAGAGAAGGTTGCAGCGAGCTAGTTTTTATAGTAATGTACATTTGCAAATGTACCTGTTGAATTGTTTTTGCACCTTCCACACCCCACACTGCTTATGTATTCATTATGGAGAGGAGTATTGCTCTGTGTTAGGTTAACATCATTAGACCTTTTTTTAGACCTTTTTGGCTACTGCAGTTAAACATTTTTGAATCTACTTTGGCATGAAAGAATCGGTACGGTGCTCTCTTGCAATCTTCACACATTAGAGCACAGAGATCTAATTGTAGGTTATATTTATGGAATTCACAAACTGTGCAGACTGATAATATTTGACAGTGTATATGTGTATATTTCAGTATATGTGTAACAGAAGCAGCGCTTTGTGCTGCTGTTTTGGAACTGATGTAAGGGGGGCTCCAAATGTTTGATTTTTGTTGGAAACTGAAGCATGTGCAACTTACTGAACATTCTCCTGGATTTCGCACTCAAGTGGAGGTCGAGCATTGCAGCAGCTGCTAAAAGTTACTCCAGACATTCAGTTCACTGCTGTACATTGCCAAAAAGAAAAGGACAAGAAACATGTCATATACATTCTGACAACTGGTGCTATTTAAAAACATCTGTGGTGCTTTTTTTTTTTAAGTTAGGTATTTCCTTGCTTCAGACAAAATGTAGCTACACAATCCTGTACTGTATTGCAATGTAGGTTGTTGTCTGGCCAGTCGTTTGTCCTGGTTCTCTTATATGTTCCAGGAGGTTTTCTTTGACTGCTGTTGTTTCAGGGAATACACAGATTCAATTGGAGTAACATTTGGAGTGGCAAATTTGAAAGCAAGGAAATTTAATGGGTAATTCACTCAAAAACACATCATGATGATTTTTTTTAACTGATTTTTTTTTTGTGTGTGTGGAGACTTTAGAGTTGTTTAAAGTTTTCTGTATTTGTGGTTGCAAATTGTATCCACACATTGTGTTTGGTGCTGAGTAAACAAACAAGGTCACCGTGACTTTCAATAGTCATCAACATCATTTAAAATCCCTGGAGAAGCATTGTTTAAGATCAAAGAATCATGCTAACTCCCAGCAGGTGCTCTTTAATGCTAGGTGGTAGGTTAAACCGATGGGGTATAATTCAACTTACCCCAAAAATCCCCATGAGAGGAGCAGCCTGTAGCATCGCTATGTTTGAAGACCAGAAAAAGCATCTAAAAAGTGTTTCCTAAAGATGCTTTTTCAACCTACTCACATACTCCTTTGGCTCATTGTGTACTAAGTTCAAATATCACGTGAAACCTTTTGAAAACTTTCTTTTTTTCTCATCACAAAATGCAATACAATGTTTTATTTCTTTTAAACAGAACTGTGCTCATTGTCTTCTCTTAATTGTTCAGTCTTCCTGTGACATAAAGGAATGCTTTGAGTTACAGTGCATCTGGAAAACAACACAAACATAAGTGTGTTCATTGTTAATTACAGGAGTAGACAACTCAGTACCTCAAAATGTCTTTTCATGGAAATCTTTAGTCCAAATGTGTATTTCATCCATTTTTATGTTCCCCATCTCTGAGAAATCAGTCCTCGTGATGCTTTTTGATATTTGTTGGCACAAACACTAACAGGAATGTATGACTATTGTAATCACTGCTCACCTCCCCACTCTTCCTAAAAATTGAAGCTTTTAAAGCATCTAAATTGAACTGTCAATTTTTTGTATCTCAAATGTCTTGGTATGCTTGTTGTAGTTGTATATTCATAATGGTGTATATTACATCAGTTTTTATTTATTAAAATGTTTAAATTTTCTAACATGACTTTTGTGTTGCTGTTTTTTTCCCCGTTTTTGTAAAATGGTACTCAGCATTTGATGTAAAAGAAAATGAAACTACAAACCAAATACATGTAAACTTCATTCTTAGAGTGATGATTAAAGGAAAGGATTCCAGAAACTGCTGAGATTTCTGTAAATAAACAGACATAGTTTGAGAAAATACTGCTTTAAACTCCTAAGACCCGAACTCTTCCATGGCATGCATTTTTAATTTCTCTTTGATATTTGGGCATATTGGGACCTGATGAATGTAAAAACAATGAATCACCAGATTTTTTTTTTTTAACCTGATTTTTGTTCCTAAGAAAAATGAGATGAGGATATTCGTTTTAAATTTTGATGGAACAGTGGCAGTATGATGTCCTCGTAAGTGGATATCAGGCCCTTGTAGAGCAAAATTTAGTATTTTGGTCTAGACAACCCAAAATGTGATGTCCACATATGTGGACTCCAGGTCCTAGGAGGTTAATATTTTTGACATTTTGGCTATAAATTGCAGATTTCTTTGTAAAACACTACTTAAAAATGCATACATTACTTTTACGCTGATGATCATGCAACATGGCAGTTTTCAGTGACATTAATGGAAAGCAATTACAGTTGAAAGGGAACATTAGAGTAACTACACTTATACGTGCTACTATAGCCCATTGCCTTCAGAACTGCTGACATTACACAGTTTCTGCAGATTTGTGACTGTGGAGGCCATCTGAGTGCAGTGAACTCATTGTCATAGTCAAGAAAGCAATTTGATTTGAGCTTTGTGCCATGGTGCGCCATCCTGCTGCAAGCAGCCAGTAAAACAGTGGTGTGCAGTGGTCCTAAAAGGATGGACATGGTTGGTAGGATGTGTTATTTAATTACACAACCAGCAACAGTTTGAGCTACAGTCTGGATAGATTCATAATTTCATGTTGTCTACATCAAATTCTGACTTTCCCATCAGAATGTCACGGCAGAAATCCAGACTCATCAATCAGCATTTTCCCATCTTCTTGTTCCCAACTAAATTGTTGGTGAGGATGCAGACAACTTATACTGTACTCAGTTTTCTGTTCTTAGCTGATAAGAGTGTTTTTGCTATTATTGAAAATTAGCAACCCTACAGCTTGATATTCTCTTCTTTGTAAAAACAAACAAACAAACAACAACAATACCAACAAAAAAAACAGCAGCACAGGTAAGCATTTTTTTTTCAATATTTTATTTTAATTTTTCCAGCATAGAAAAACCCATCAACAAACAAATACAGCTCAAGAAGTAGTGGCACTGTAAAGCGCTTTGGGTGCCTTGAAAAGCGCTATATAAATCCAATCCATTATTATTATTATAACAGGTAAGCATTTTAACTGTGCATCTAGAAAGCCCAGCCGTATAGGGGCACCACAAGCCAGTGTATTCTAATGCTGGTCCCAAGCCGTGATAAATAGGGAGGGTTGTAAATTTCTGGATCGGTTGGGGACTGAGTTATCAGCCTCGACTGCAAACCGGTCCTGCTGAACAACGTGTGCTCAGAATTCTCGGGGGACAAATAAAGAACGTCCCCACTTTTTTTTTCTTCCCACTGGCCCTAATCCTGTTCCGTAGGAGAGCACTGTAATCAGCATGTAAAAGTGCTGAATGCGGTCAGACTTCATCTTCTTAAATTCTCTCTAACATTTGCTCACTTTCCTCCATGGTGCAAACTTAGAAAAGAATGACAACTCACGTGACCCCACTGGTCACTACATCTGTGGTCACTGAGACATAAAAACGATATGTATCAAAACTGATTAATAAAGACAGAAAAGAAAAGCGTGTACAAACTAAGGGAAGCTCCGTTCCTTCGTAAATCCTCGAGATCCATGCCTCTCGCGAGATCACGGTTGCTTAGCAACCAATGACACAGCTCTGTTGATAGAAACCCCAGTGCTATGCTAAGGAATTTTACCCAGAAAATATAAAGTGACTTTGACTTGGTAGCATGGAGGTAAGTTTGTCTTGAAAATGGTTTAGTCAGAGTATCACAGACGAACACTGGCTATTAAACGGCTAACTAAGGTGGGAAAAATGTCATTGTTTGACTTTTCATTAAAGCTAAGGAGAGACATTTTAGACTTAGCGCATAATAGCATAAAGCAAGTAGTGGGCTCATCTGTTGTGGAAAGGATTGTCTCAGTGTCCTCATGAGTCTGTGTAAAAAATCTCATACACTCATATTTTATTTATAACAGAACAGAGAAAATATATCTTTTTTTTAGCGCAAGACATTTTACTATTTCATTAAAAATATTAGATCATTTTGAATTTGATAACAGTAACAAGTCGTAAAAAATCTGGAACAGGGCAAAAAAAGGCTGAAAAAGTAAGTGGTTCTAAAAAGAAACAGCATGCGGAACATTTTTTGTAAGCAATTAAGTGAACTGGCAACAGTTCAGTAATATGACTGACTATAAAAAGAGCAGCTTAGAGAAGCAGAAGTTCTCAGAAGTAAAGATAAATATCTGTGCAAGACTGAAAACCAGTATTGGAGTCCGACAGTTTTTGGTCATTCAAGCAGTGTTTCATTAAAAAACAGCAGGACTCTGTCATGGAAATCATTGCATGGGCTCAGCAGCATTTCTCTGTGTGAGAACATAGTTTGCATAAATTGCAATTTATTTGAACTGTTCTGTGGCCAGATGAATCAAAGTTTGAAACTAGTGTTGGAAGTGCATGGACACTGCCTCGTCTTGAATAAAGAAGAGAGGGACCATCTGGCCTCTTGCTATCACTTCAAAGACCTGCATATCTGATACTATGGAGATGCATTAGTGATAGTGGAACTGGCAGCTTGCACATCTGGACAGGCATTATCAATGCTGAGAGGTATATACACGTTTGCGAGCAACATATGCTGTCATCCAGATAATGTCTTTTCTGGGAAAGCCTTGTATATTTCAATGAGAAAATGCTGTATATCTTGCAACAGCGTGGCTTTGTAGAAGTCCTGAATTGGTTTAAGACACAGCTGTTGCCCCCAGACCCTGAAATAGTCTGACCTTCCACAAAAAGTGCCCTCCAACAGCTGAAATATTATTTCCACTTGCTTTTAGTCAGGGAGGTCTCTTGTTTGTTTGTTTGTTTTTTGTTTCTATCGAGTCAGATTTTCTTATTGGTGCTCACGCATTCCGTCCAAATCTTAACCGAGATAGTTAATTAAATTTTTAATAAAATTTGCTTGTCTTTTTATTTAAATGTGCTTTAAAATAGATGTTTACTTTGATTTTTGTTAAAGGGTTTATGATTTGTATTTGGTCTGATAAAATGACATTGCTTTAAATGTGCTTTAAATACAGTTGATTTGACTGATAGACTTACAGTTTACCTGCTGTGTTTCCAGGAGACGGGATCAACAGGAGAAGACTCTTTTGAGTCCTTGGCAGAGTTTCAGTTGGTCCTCAGTGAGCTGGTTGGCGATGCGAGCATGGACAAAATCCGGGTGGAGTATGAGAAGCTCACCCATGCGCTGAAGAAGTCAAGAGAGAACGAAAAAAGGCTAATGTCTAAATGCAGGGAGCTGAATGCAGAGATTGTGTCCACCTCAACTAAGGTGGCTGCAGCCCTGAAATTATCCCAGGAAGATGCAACAACAATAACATCACTAAAAAGGGTATGTGCCCCGAACACAAGAACTACAGCATAGTGCAGAATAGCTTATTCATTTAGGTGCTTGACCATAGCAATCATTTTCTGATCATGAGGTAACGGGTATAGAAATGTTTTGTTTTTGTTTTTTTACGTTTTCTTTATCATGTAGCTTCTGCTAAAGAAAATAATTTGCTTACATTGTAGGAGCTGGATAAAGCCTGGAAAATGGTTGATGCTGCTCATGATAAAGAGAAGAAGGACAAAGAGACAATCAGGAAACTACAAGAAGATGTTTCCAACCTAACAAAAATGGCTGAAATTCAGACTGGGTTTTCCAGGGACCAAGAACAGAAGTGTGTCTGTGGCCCATTCTTTTGACTGTACAGATGTCGGATTAAACCATTTTTAACATGTCTGTGTGTTTTTTCTTTTGGTTTTTAGTGATCTATTTAACATGATTGATGAGCTGACCAAAGAGAGGGATAAGCTGCTGACTACAGCAGAGGGTCTGAGAGAAAAACTAAACAAAGCCATTGCAACCCAGCAAGAGATAGAGGCCAAACGAGAGCATGCCATGGAGAGTATTTCACAGGTAAAAGCATTTGTATCTAATAATGCAACACACAGCAAGGATTAGTGATTTAAACTTTGCCTGCAAAACAGAAACTCTGTTAATAATGGGTGTCTGTAATTACATATTTAAATGAATTGTAATAATTTTCAAATATGACACAGTATTACTACCCCTGAGTGTATTACCCCTGTCTCAACAAACCCCAATACACATAAACATGCACTAATGTAGTATTTTCTGGTTCTATAGATGACTTCATGCAGTTTCTATTAGCATGTTTTGGTCTCGAGGTAGGATTGCATGACCATTGACTCTGACAAACACAATAAAATTCCACTCTAACTCCAGACTACTGCTTGTTTCCTGTCTAAACTCAGCTCCAACAGGAGCTTCAGGTGCAACAGAATGAGATTTCCCGCGAGATGAGGCTGAAGGAAAAGCTGGATAAGGAGGTAAAGCAGATGCATGTCGATATGGAGGCCAGGATGGGTGAAATCAAAGTTCTGAATCTGCAAGGCCAAAAGGCTAAAGAGGAGCAGCAGAAACTGGAGCAGCAGCTAAAAGAGCTAAAAGTAAGCAAGGAAGTGGGATGGATTACATTTCTGGTGTGACATGTTCAAAAGTAACTGCTATTGTAGTTATTGTCTCAGCTAAAACCATAGGTTATTATTGCATGAATCTTTTTTGTTAGTTGTATGTTGTGTATTTTACATATTTAGATGTTGTGCTTAAAAGGAAAAAAAAATGCCTCAAATTCTTGCGAAAACTTACTTTTTCTTACTTTACAAGAATTTGTAATAATTACCTTTACAAATAAGTATAGCGAATTAGCTCCTATTTCAATTTCAAACTTCCATACTTGTTACTTCCATACAAAGTAACAGACAGTCCAAAAAAGAAGTGAGGAAGAGTGTGCAGTCAGGGCAGAGTGGGTGGAAACAAGTGCAAGGGGTGATTTGGGATAGAAAGACAGCAGCACGAGTGAAAGGGAATTTTCACAGGTTTTTAGTGAGGTTTTGTGTGGTTTTGATGCTGCCACTAAAGAAAAAGACAGGAAACTGAGCTGGAGGTGGCAGAGCAGAGTTGCAGTGACACAGCTTCTTTCTAGTATTGTCTTGATGCATCCTCAATCATCCAGGTAAGTAAATCCCAAAAGGTTGATTGTGTTCATCTGGACGCAGCGTTTTCAGTGGGAGAAACGTTTGGTCACTCATCCAAGTGACTTCTTCAGTCTCAGCTGACTGCAGGTTTCCCCAATCTTATAAACAGGACATTTGCATAATGACTGAAGCTAATGAATGAACAATGAGCTGGGGGTCATTCCTTCATCATTAATATGCAAATTCTCATGACCATTGATCAACAAACACTGATCAAGGTAAACTGATCATTGATCAATGGCCATGAGTCCCATTCACACAGGTGGGGAATGGTTGCAATCACAGCATTGTCAGATGGTGATAGATGTACCCTTAGGCCCCCTCCTCGATTCAGAGATGGTCTTTCCCTTTTCACGTAAATGGCCTCCTTGACTCTGTGCTCAAACCAGCGTTCCTCCTTGTCCAGGATGTGAACATCCTCATCAGTGAAAGAGTGTCCACTGGCCTGTAGGTGTACATAAACTGCGGAGTCCTGGCCTGACGAGGTAGCTCTTTTGTGTTGTGCCATCCGCTTCACCAGAGATTGTTTGGTTTCCCCGATGTATAAATCCTGGGAATCCTCCTGGCACTTAACAGCTCACACTATGTTATTCTGTTTGTGTCGAGGGACCCGATCCCTGCGGTGGACTAATTTTTGGCACACCTTGTTTTGGGATTTAAAAACTACAGAGAAAAATCTTTAGAAAAAATGTGTCTCAACTGTTCCGATACTCCTGACACATACAGGATCACTACAGGTTTTCTCTTAGGCAGCAGTTGTCCTTCCCTCCTGGATCGGCTGGAGCTTTCTTTAGCTGCCTTCCTAGATTTGACAAATGTCCAGCTGGGATAACCACATTTACTCAGGGCCTCTTTCTAGTATTTTAGGGTCCTTACCTAAAGGTCAGGGTTTTGTGACTTGGCAATATGTGAATAAAATTGAATTGATTTGAAAGAAAGAATACATATTTGTTCTCTAACTGCAACAGATTTTGAATGAAAAGTCAACCAAGGAGTTGGAGCAGATGCAGACGAAGAACACCAAGCTGCAGCACGAGTGTGAGCAGCTGTCATCAACCAAAGAACACCTCTCCCTGCAAAATCAACAGAATATAAATGAGCTTAAGGTACACTGTTGTCCACTAATGTACACTTAAACAGTCACAACATGGTACTGTTCAGAGAGTTCATTAAGACATATCAGAATGTAGTCAGCGTCAGTGTCCTGCATGTACAATGACATATGCTGTCCATATCCCTCTTTCATCACTGTGTGTAATGTTTCAAACACCCTGCTGCCCCCACTGGTCAGATGAGAGAGGAGGAGGTGAGTCAGTTGCGTCAGGAAGTTGCCAAACAAACAAAGATGAGAGAAGCCATCCAGAAGAAGTTCCACCAGATAGAGGATCAGAAAGCTGATGTGGATGTGCAACGGGAGACCCTGAAAGCACAGATCGCTGGTCTGGAGAAAGGTAAAGGAGCTTACCTTATGACTCATGAAACACAAGCACATGACCGTCTGACATCTGCAACTTTGAAGTAGAAATTTTACAGGCGTATACTGAATAATATATAATTTTGAGGCAGTGACAGTAATCACTATGATAAAAAAAAAAACAAAAAAAAAAACTGTAAGCCAGAATGTAAGTGGCTTTTTGGTATTACGAACAAAATCCTGCAATGAAAAATCCTTTGAAGGAGTTTGGAGAACGTGTTTCTTTTGTGGCCATGGATACATATTGTATTGGTGGCTGACTTAATGAGGCCAAAAAGTAAGAAAGTGTTAAGATTGTTAGAAATGCACACAAACACCTGATCAGAACAGAGTAGAGGGATGCAGCACTAAGTGTTAGTTTGATCTACTTTTGTGTGCTACCGTCATTTTCATTAATGAGTGAGACACCACAAAGCCTTCTAAATTGCAGTGTAATTTTTCAGTGCAATTTCTAGGCCTGAGAAATGACTTCAGATGACACAGCGCCACACTCATGGAAGAAAAATGGTCAATTTTGAAATGTTCAACACAACTGACCGTGAGCAGACATCATTTAGTAATCATCACCCTTCTTCCTCTACAGATCTTGAATCTTCTCAGAAGCAAGTAGAAGCTGACAAGAAAGCCATAGAGGAGCTGATCCGAGAGAGAGACATCTTAAATAAGGTATCCGTTATAGTTTATAGTTCTGTGACACACTATCAACCAAGCTGGGACATTTTATAGGATGTGCTCATTTTGAATCTGATTACAACGTAACCTTTTTAAGCCTCTGAGGTCATAATTATAATACTGTATAATCATCCCTGCACTTCGGGAGAGCAGCATAAACCACTGCTAGTAAATGCTCCTTTGCAATATCAGACAAAAACAAATACCTGAACCCCAAATATGTATTGAGATGATTTACTATATAACATGTTTGCTTTTCACTATGGTTCACGTTCATTTACAGTGAGATGTGTCCAGTACATAAGCATGGGTATTTTGTTGGCTTTAATCTATTTTTGTGGTCTAAGGCTAATATGTATGAAAACTTCAAGTCCACTTAACTGCACTGTTAGGATTAAAACTATGATGATATAGTTTGAGTTCTGCACTTTTGACACAAATTGAAAGCTGCTGGGTCATCTCACCCGTTCTTTTATGAGCATGTTACGCCCCACTTAAAAGCAAAGTGTTGGGGGGTAACAAAGTGAAAAAGAAATGATAAACTTCCCCAAGGTAGATGTCAGTAAAACACGATTCATTACACAACACTACTTAAGCAAGTATGAACACAGGGAAGCTCTGTTCGTCAGGGTCTCCAAGGCCAAAACAACAAACAAAACACCCCCTTTCTAACTAAAAACAAACTGAGTTTTCTCTATCGAAAAACAAAAGTGCATTAGCTGAGCTCCCTGACTGGCCACAAAACAGGAGAAAATGATTGAAACAAAAATGGCAGAGAACCCCTACCTGCTTCCACTGTGGTTCACAGATATCTTAGTAAAGGCACACCCTTACTCACAAAAAAACACAACACACCAAGGTTACACCAAAGTTGTAAATTCACACACACGCAGCCGCAGATTGCTGCCCAAACCACTGCAGCTCACAGCTTGAGCAAAAAGGGGGAAGAAGACAAGGTGTGGTGGTTTGAGATGGCAGTCTGTATGCCCTGGCTGACTAGCTGTAACACACCTCAGCTGCAGCTCATGAGGCAGACCTGGAACACAGGAGAGGGAGAAAAGGCTCTCTCTCACATAGGGAGAGCCACTAGAGGTCAGCGACCGTAACACCCCCCCCCCCCCCCCACATAAAATATTACATAAAATAAAACAGACATACTTTTAACACATACCACCGAGTTCGTTAGGGAGTTTAACACTGCGTCCTGGACAGTGCACCAGCTACCACATTGTCCATACCTCTCTTATGTCTGATGTCTATGTTGTACTCTTGAGCAAGCAATGCCCAACTCATCAATCTCTGGTTGTGATTGAAGGGTTCCTTTGGACTGCACAAACGAGTCAAAGGAGCCACTACTGTCGACAAATTCCAGCAGAAACATCTGTAGTAGCCCACTAGACCCAAGAAGCGCCTGAGCTCCCGTCTTGTGGTGGACACAGGGTAGCTCAGGACAGCTTCCACCTTTGCATTTACAGGGCACTCCTGGCAGTGTCCCAGTTGCTTGCCGAGGTATGTCACTACTGCCTTGGCAAATTCACATTTTGCCAGGTTCAAGGTTAGGGAAGCCTGGGCTAAATGACCAAAAACATTCCTTAGTGTGCTAATGTGCTCAGTCCAGCACAATGAATATATCACGATATCATCCAAATACACGTTACAGTTTTTAATGCCTGCTAACACAGAGTTTATAAGCCGTTTGAAAGTGGCTGGTGCATTTCGCATACCAAATGCCATTACTGTGTACTGCAGGAAATGGTCTGGAGTAACAAAAGCTGAAATATTAGAGGCTCTACTAGTTAAAGGAACCTGCCAGTACCCTTTTAACAAATCTAATTTTGTTATGTAGGTAGGTAGGCTCTGTAAGTGTTTGGGAACTGATGAGGCCAATATTGAAATGCTTGCCAGTTCGCATAGGATTTCATAGCCCTCTCTGACCCTCTCTTTACCTCCACCATGCTCACCCTTCAAGATTACCCCTACTCCATTTTGTTTCCTATCTACATCATGGTGGGACAGTTGCATCCTCACACAATACCCTATATCAGGTTATTGTGTGAGGATGCAACTCTAGTCCTCGAGAGCTACTGCCCTGCAGCTTTTTGATCCCTAGCATCCCTATTCCAACACAGCTGAATCAAATGGTTGAATGAACTCTTCAGCATGTCTTCCAGTTTGGCAAAGGTCTGGAAACAAGCCATTAATTTGATTCAGGTATGTTGGAACAAGAATGCATCTAAAAGCTGCAGGACAGTAACTCTCGAAGACTGAAGTTGGAGATCCCTGCCTTAAATCAGCCTTTGTTCTCTCTCCCTTTATCAGTCATAATCTTTATATTTAAAATCCCACTCTCACCTCAACACTCCTGACTTCCCTTCTCTCTCGTTGCCTCCTAACACACCCTGTCCCCCTCCTCCCGCTTTGTCTTCAGCCAAGAGTAGCACAGTTTCCATCGGCACTGCCCAACAGCACCCGGGGCGATTTGTTGTTAACCTGGGCCCTGAGCGATCCAGTGTGGAAATCTCATTCCTGATGACACACATATATATTTGAGAAAGTTTTACACCAGATGCCCTTTCTGACACAACCCTCCCCATTAATCCAGGCTAAGAACCAGCACTAAGAGTACCCTGAATTGTGGTGCTCCTGTGGCTGGATCAGAATCATGAAGGGTTTTCATGGATGTATTTTTTTCTCTACCAAGAAGAAAGCTTTAAGCTGGATGATTGCTGTTGAGGATGTGGCATCTGAGTATTCAGATCACAGGCCAGTTTTAAAAGATTTTGTGCTCTGGGAGCTTAGCAGTGGTTCTGGATGTTGTCTATATCTCTCTTTTCTATGGATGGAGGAGTTTTACCTTGTGTTTTTTAATCTGGTGACAAAACATGCTCGATATTGATATTATTTTTCATGCAGACATTAATACACAAAATCATTTTGTTTGTAATACCAGAAGAGATTCAGTACTGGTTTCCACATTGTTGACTGTGTACACACAGGCTGACATCAAACTCAAGAACATATGTTTAAAAAAATAGTTAAACTTCTCAGTTTTTAATTCAGAATTTTTGTTATTTATTTTTTGTTGTGATAAATGTGTGATTATGATTAACTGATATAGAAGAGGTCTACAGGGTACTTGCCTCAATCACTCTTCATATTCAGTAACCAGTTGTTTCTGTATAACAGTACTAAATGAGTGTGTCTTCCTTTTGGTCCTCAGCAGCTGGAGCCTATGTTAATGCTTACTGTTTTTATGCTTGTATTCCCATGAGCAGAACTTAATCAAAGCTGTGCAGTCAACTGAGAAGCAGCAAAACCTTGTCAAGCTCCTTGAGCAGGACAAGAAAACGTTGGAGCACGAGATCAGCGGCTACCGCCTGGAGGCCCAGAAGCAGCGCAAAATCATCCAGCAGCTGGAGAAAGAGCGTGACCGCTACATCAACGAGACCAGCAACCTCATACAGAAGGCAGGTCTTGCAGGAGGAGCTAGTCTCCTGGATTAGCTTGTTCGTTTTTGGTTTTTTTTACAAATGGGACTTTTCCTCTTTCCACAGGTACAACAAAAAATGAATGATGTAGAAGTTAGAGAAACAGAGATATTTGACTGGAAGAAGAAGGTCACTGAGGCTGCATGCAAGCTCAAACAGCACGAGAACTTGCTGGAGACTGTCGTGTCTGAAAGGAACCTCTACAGCAAAAACCTCATTGAAACTCAGGTAATAGCAAAGTGATGATGTGAATCACTGCTGGTGTCATCACTCAGCAGAGCTTAATTACACCAGGGAAAGGTTGAACACACCATATTTACAGATGTTTATATTGTAATTCCTCTTCATCTTTTCTCTTCTTCCCTTTTCTGTGTGGTCATTGTGTTCTATCTTTCTCCCTTAGGAAGAGATTGCAGAGATGAAGAGGAAGATGAAGACCATGAACAACCAGGTCACCCGACTCAGAGATGAGATCAGTGGGAAAGAGCTGGCCCTTGCCAAGGATCAACAGGAGCACAAACGCTTAGAGAAAGAAAACGAGACCCTCAAGGTACAGAAAGGTTCCACAGCGGTTCATGATGGAGTGTGGGTCTGACCTCGTCCTTATTTATCTGCTGATTTGTCTTTTTAGTAACTTGACTCTTGTGAAAATATATATTCATTTGAATCCCACCATTGCCATTCTGGATGGTTTTGCCTGTATTGTACAGTTTTCTAAAATTGATTTAATTGATTTAAATTCTTCTTTATAAATGCTTTTATAAAATAGTACAAAATGCCTTCTGCAAAATGTAACTAAAACTTTCGCCAGTAGAGGGAAGTGTTTCACTAGAAAATGCTTATTACTTCAGTTGGTCAACACAGTCACTTCCAAGCTAGATGATCCTGGGTTTACATCAACTGTGTGGAGTTTCTCCCTGTGACTGTTTGGGTGGTGCTTCCATGTTTACCATACATGTGGATGGGAGCGTGAATGGTTGATTTTCTCTCTGTTGTTTGCCTGTTGTTTTTACTGTTTCTTTTTTTGGGGGGGAGGTTTGAAAACGGTTGTTTTCCACGTGCTTCAGCTGCTGTTTGTTGCACTACTCTTGACATTTTGAGCTTCCTCTCATGTTGCATTTAGGGTACAATGGCGTTGCAGTGGAATAATTCCCTCTGTGTCTTTTGTTTATCATCCATGACATCAGTGGAAATCGTAATTGGGTGAATAAAAGATGTGAGGGAGAGTTCATAAGAAACCATGAATCTGTCTGCACTTATACTAGACCGCTAATGTAAATAATGATGTTTGCTGTGAGACAGTGCAGAGTAGAGCAGAGTGACAACAGAGAGTACCTTAAATACCCTGTGAAAAATACCACTTCAATACTGGGATTGGCATTTTAAAAAGAATGTAGCCAACCAATCACAGTTGGGAAAGTTTATTAAGAAATGGTCCCCACTCCTCTGTCCACTTTTTTGCCTTCTCACCAAACAGTTTCTACTTTAACTCTTACAATGTTTGGGATCACAGCATCTCTGAAGTTCATTTAATAAATCATAATCCTAAACATTGGTAATACAAAAACACATATTGCTAAATTGAGAGGTTTTATATCTGATATAGTGATCTAGCTTTTTTATTAGACTCAGTTGGCATCACTTCTAATCACTTGTGTTGACATTTCAGGCTGAACAGTATTTCCTGAAAATCCTGTCTTGTTCACCAATTTTTTTGATTGCCTTTAATTTTATAATGATCCACTACACAGCACTAGAGAATAAATTTCATTACAGGAGATGGCTTTCACCCACAGGTATTAAACCACTGGAGTGATTTGAATTACTCCAGTGAGTAACTGACAGATTTCAACATGTAAATGGGGGGATTGCAATTATGAATTGGTGGTATATAGATAAAATTGTCTTGAACTGAATTAAATCCATGTTTGCTCCTATCTAAATTTCCTGCATTTCCTACAGGCAGAATTGCAGCTGATCAAGCTCCAGCTGGAAGAAACAAAGCAGTGTGTAGACAGCCAGAAAACAGAGCAGCAAAAACTGCAGAAGATAATATCGGATGCTGATGCTGAGCAGACCCAACAGAAGAAACAACTGGAACAGGTAAAGAAGGAGAAACATAGACGGGTAGAGAGAGACAGAAAAAGACTCTGATTATGTGTTCTCTCAAGGTGATCAGAGAGCGGGACAGCCTGGGCAAGCAGCTGCTGCATAGCAATGACGAGCGTACACTGTTGTATGAGAAGATCAGAATCCAGCAGTCAATCCTAAGCAAGGGGGACTTTCACTACAAGCAGAGGATCGAAGACATCCGCCTGCTCAAGCTGGAGATCAAGAGGCTCAGACGCAAGAAAAGCATCCTTGACAAGACTTTGCCCAACACAGAGGAGCTGAGGTAAAGGGAGGCATTTGTGGCCAATAGTGAAGAAGGAGAAGGAAGGCAAGATACAAGCATTGAGCACAAAAAGGAAAAGGAATGAGGGGACCCGCAGAGCGCAGTATTTAGAGTAAAAGAGCCAAAAGGAGTGAGATGGAAAGATTGTTAGGTAGGAATCGCTGCTGTCAAACAGTAAATTGTTTCACATAGATCCTTTAAAAAATTCCTGTATTTCTTGTGATATTTTCACAATGGATTCATTTTTAAACTCTTAATTAATAGAGTGAAGCAGTAGAATGTTGTTTTTGCCTCCAGTTTGACGGAATTTAAATGGAAATTATGTTAATATGTAATCCTGTATTTTAGGCAAGAGCTGTTTCATCTGCAGAGGCAGCTGCTCAGAGAGAGAGCAAGGAACAGCGTGCTTGAGGAGCAACTGAAGCCGATAAATATTCACAGATGGAGGCAACTAGAGGTGAATGATTTATCCTTGTGTTAGCTCGTAACTTTCATAGCACTAGCTTTTCTTTTTCACATGTTCTAAATGACTGACTTGCAGGGGAGTGACCCTGGTAAATACGAGCTCATCCGTAAGATTCAGTCCTTACAAAAGCGCCTGATCGCCAAAACCCAAGACCTTGAGGAACGTGAGCTCTTGTTGCAGGTGAACACCTGAACACTTGTTTTAAACTAACTGATCTAACTAATGATCTTCGCTTTGTACCTGCACAAGCCTCTTTGGATCATTAGTCTTTTGAAGTTTACGCATAAAAATAAGTGTGACTCACAGATGCATGGTCTTCTTTTAAGCCATGTACTTTACCCATAACTTCCTTTCTTTTAATTTTACCATGAAGGAAAAGGAGAAGCTGTATGTGGAGCTAAAGCACATTCTGGCCCGGCAGCCAGGTCCTGAGGCAGCCGAGCAGCTCCAGCAGTGTCAGTGGACCATCCGAGACAGAACCAAAAAGCTCAAGGTCTTGTGCAGAAAATTACAGATTTGTATCATTTGTTTGCGTTTACTTTTTGATATAAATAATGACTTCAATAAAATAATATATATTGTTTTAAAGTCAGAAAATTGGCACCAACATAAAAGACAGTATTTTTTAATATCTATTTTAGACAGATGGCACTGGTTTCTCACATCTCTGACAAAAATATGTTTTTCCATCTTATTTTTCAGGCACTGATAGCAGAGTTGAGGATGCTTGACTCGAAGATGAATGAGTATAAAAGTGAGAATCAAAGACTGGCCACGGAGCTAGCAAACGTTACGAAGAAATACCTAAGTGAGAAAAAGCTCCAAAGGTGAGGCTGATCTTTGTTCTAATTAAAAGCTCCAGTATATAACGCACTGAGAAAACGTTCAGCTGCTCATCCTTTCGTTCACTGTGTGTCTCCTCAGTGAGCAGAGGACAAAGATCAAGGTGGAGCACCCGGAGCTTCTGCCTCAGCTGAGCAGCAAACCCCATTTTACAGGAGGAGGTTTCAGAGTTGATAACCCTGTAAGAAGATAATTTAACTAAAACTAAAACATTCAAAATGAATAGTTCACAAATCATGACATGACCTCGCACCTGTCCATGACCTCAGTAGCATAAGGTTGACCATTTGTTGCTTTCAGTTTTATGTTCTAATATAGTATTTTTGATGTGTGTAAATCTTTGGCAAAATTCCAGCAAAACCTGTACTTAGGTCTTTAAGAGCTTGGCTCTGCAGTACACCAGCATGAATTTATTTATATTGTGCTTTGTTTAATAAGAGTGATTATGCAAATCTTAAAAGAGCAATATAGGTATGAAAGAATATTTGTACGCAGATTAGAAATAGCAGTATGGTTCTGATGGGCAATGTTCCCTCTAAGCTGCGCGCGTGTGCAATTGCGCACTGCTGGCACGGTCTCTGCGCACAGAAAATCTGCATTGCGCACAAAAAAAAATCTAACCTGAATTGAAATTAAAATTAAAACTTTAACAATTCTGTTTTGCAGTGTTAGTCAGTTAGTGACTGGCTGCTCCCGTGTGGGATTAGAACTACAGTGGGGCAAAAAAGTATTTAGTCAGCCACCGATTGTGCAAGTTCCCCCACCTAAAATGATGACAGAGGTCAGTAATTTGCACCAGAGGTACACTTCAACTGTGAGAGACAGAATGTGAAAAAAAAAATCCATGAATCCACATGGTAGGATTTGTAAAGAATTTATTCGTAAATCAGGGTGGAAAATAAGTATTTGGTCAATAACAAAAATACAACTCAATACTTTGTAACATAACCTTTGTTGGCAATAACAGAGGTCAAACGTTTACTATAGGTCTTTACCAGGTTTGCACACACAGTAGCTGGTATTTTGGCCCATTCCTCCATGCAGATCTTCTCGAGAGCAGTGATGTTTTGGGGCTGTCGCCGAGCAACACGGACTTTCAACTCCCGCCACAGATTTTCTATGGGGTTGAGGTCTGGAGACTGGCTAGGCCACTCCAGGACTTTCAAATGCTTCTTACGGAGCCACTCCTTTGTTGCCCGGGCGGTGTGTTTTGGATCATTGTCATGTTGGAAGACCCAGCCTCGTTTCATCTTCAAAGTTCTCACTGATGGAAGGAGGTTTTGGCTCAAAATCTCACGATACATGGCCCCATTCATTCTGTCCTTAACACGGATCAGTCGTCCTGTCCCCTTGGCAGAAAAACAGCCCCATAGCATGATGTTTCCACCCCCATGCTTCACAGTAGGTATGGTGTTCTTGGGATGCAACTCAGTATTCTTCTTCCTCCAAACACGACGAGTTGAGTTTATACCAAAAAGTTCTACTTTGGTTTCATCTGACCACATGACATTCTCCCAATCCTCTGCTGTATCATCCATGTGCTCTTTTTTTTTTTTTTTTTTTTTTGCCTGTCCCGTTTAGCTCTTTTGCCATCAGAATTGTTGTCTAAAGGCAAAGAAAGATGCCCAACGGATTTACTTTACCAAATTGACCATCCCAGCCTTGCCGTAATGGTCCATTTGATTCACCTTTTATTGTTTATTTTATTTTCACTTACTGAATATGGGACAGACTTGACTGGGGGAAAGAAGGGGAGAAAGAAAGAGGGAAAGAGAAACAGCTGAGAAGAGGGACGGGGGAGAAGGGCAAAAAACAAAAACCAACAGAATGAGCAGAAAAAAAAAGAAAAAAAATGCATATATCAATCACCTGGATCACCTGCTGAGAAAGAAAAAAGAAAACAAGCAGAAGAGAACAAGAGTAATAGAATAAACAGCATCACAATGATATATGGGAATATGACAGTAAATACTAAATATTAAACATTATTGTGCAGCACATAAGATCAACAGAACACAGTGTGCTTTGAGGTAGGAGCCAAAAAGGGTGTAGTTTGTGGGTGTGATCACCCGTGTGTACACCTGTGAGCACGGACGCGCTTGTTTTTTGTTTTTTAAAAGGTTCCTTCATGTAATGATCTGCTAGAGGGTGTGGGGGGGCCACAGCCCCGTCCTCCAGGGCATGAAGCAGGTATGGAGGAGATCAAAACTCCAGACATCCAGAGGCCCCCAGAACACAAGAGACCAAGGAAGACCAACAGAGGGGCAGCCGCGCCACTGTCCCAGAAAGAGCTGAGGAGAGTCCCAGATGAGGGCTCACTCAGCAGCCGCGGAGCAGAAGCCAGGGGGAGTTGCAGTGACGCGCCCGTGAGCTCCGCCGGCAGCCAGCCGTGCCTGAGTGACCGAGCCCCAGGCCGAGAGGCCGGGGGCACCCCACCTCCGAAGTGGCCCGAGCAAGCCCCAGGCTCCAGGCCCCGATAAGCGGCCGCCAAGGAGTGAGCCGGTGTGTACCTGGACGCCCATCCCCGGACACAAAGAACCACCAACGCACCGATGTCTGAGGGAGTCCGCCACTGGCAGGGGAAGTGGTGGTGGGGGGAGATAGGCCTCCAAACCTTGGAGGGCCTGAGATGTCCCCAGAGAGGTGGCGCCTGACACCCAACCTGACATATAGACACAGAAATACAGGCACACACAGACACAAACATCCATTCCCACCCTCATGCTCTCATATGCACTTACTCCACACTCAACCAACGTGGAGACAGACATAAAGAGACGCTGTACACACGATCACACTCCCCAAGCGTACTCTACGAACCGGGTCTAGGTACCCTTGCCCCTGGAGGGGGAACTGCACCCAGACCCAGGTGGTGTTACCCTTTTCCCTGCGGTGGGGGGAGGCAGACCGCCCCGACTCCGCAGCAGCAGGGAGGCCCCACACTCCAGACCGCAGTCGGACGGCCAACTCCTCCTCCTAGCCCCCCGGCTCCAGCAGGTCGCAGAGAATGGGGGTGAGAGAAGACTCCAAACCTCCCTCCACCCGCTCATTGTAGTGTTGATGCATGTGTGTTCTAAGGTGCATTTAAAACCCAGGAGGGCATGGAGCTACCTGCCAGAGAGCAGCAGGTAAGCGCATGGTCCCTCCTGCTAGCCCTCAATGTCTACGTGTATTTAACCTTGTGCTCTCTGGCAAACTTCAGACGGGCCTGGACATGCACTGGCTTCAGCAGCGGAACACGTCTGGCACTGCGGGATTTGATTCCCTGCCGTTGTAGTATGTTAGTGATGGTGACCTTTGTTACTTTGGTCCCAGCTCTCTGCAGGTCATTCACCAGGTCCCCCCGTGTGGTTCTGGGATCTTTGCTCACCGTTCTCATGATCATTTTGACCCCACGGGATGAGATCTTGCGTGGAGCCCCAGATCGAGGGAGATTATCAGTGGTCTTGTATGTCTTCCATTTTCTGATGATTGCTCCCACAGTTGATTTTTTCACACCAAGCTGCTTGCCTATTGTAGATTCACTCTTCCCAGTCTGGTGCAGGTCTACAATACTTTTCCTGGTGTCCTTCGAAAGCTCTTTGGTCTTGGCCATGGCGGAGTTTGGAGTCTGACTGTTTGAGGCTGTGGACAGGTGTCTTTTATACAGATGATGAGTTCAAACAGGTGCCATTCATACAGGTAACGAGTGGGGGACAGAAAAGCTTCTTACAGAAGACGTTACAGGTCTGTGAGAGCCAGAGATTTTCCTTGTTTGAGGTGACCAAATACTTATTTTCCACCCTAATTTACGAATCAATTCTTTACAAATCCTACCATGTGAATTCATGGATTTTTTTTTCACATTCTGTCTCTCACAGTTGAAGTGTACCTCTGGTGCAAATTACTGACCTCTGTCATCATTTTAAGTGGGGGAACTTGCACAATCGGTGGCTGACTAAATACTTTTTTGCCCCACTGTATGCCACCTTATCCCAATGATGCGATTCACATTCGTATATACGCAGCTAATCAACGTCGTTGACAGGCTATGACAGCGTCCTTATGTGCCGACACCGGTGTTTTAGCTAGCAAAGCGGCGTGGCTGATGTGGAGTGAAGCCATGTTAATGACAACGTGTACAACCATTGGAGATGTGAGCAGGACAGACGGAACAATTGACAGAAAAAGTGTGGACTTTATACCAGTTTTTAAATTGTGTTGATAGGGCACGAAAAGCAGAGTTATGATAAAAATATCTGCAATGTTTGGTTTTCTTCCTGAATACTATCGTTGTTTATATTTACTGCAGGAAGAAACGTAAAAACAGCGTTTTATAGGGAAAACGCTCGAAAGCACTCTCCGCCTGTGAGCAAAAACAAAACCAAAAAACCCCACCCTTTCCTATTGGTCGAAAAATGTACCATGTCGACCAATCAAAGAATGATATGGCAACATGGCATGTAGTTGTTTAGGAAAGGGGGAAGTTTTAGGAGTGACGGCGGTGTTTTGAGATGTGAGAGATTTGCGACGTTAAGCGCAAATCTTGTGTCGTTAGTGTGTAGTGTAGTCAATAGTTTTGTTGTGTGTGTCAGAACAATGAGGCGACTGCTGAATGTTACAGGTGTTACAGCAGTGATACATCTCCTGTTGTCAGGCCTGCAGGTATCAGGCTGTTGTTCTCCTTCATCTCATAGTGGACAGAAATTAGTTTTGGAGTGACACAAATAATTTGTGTGGCATCAAATGTGATGCAGAACAGCTGATTGTTCTGTAAATAGTTTGAAATGTTTATTTAAAAAAACACCTTGGCTGCATTTTTAGGTAAACAGCTGCAAAAAACTTTGTTGTTTGCAAAACTCAGTTACTTTTTTGAAGAAGTAACTATATAATTAATTGCCCAACATTGGTCATTATATACTGTATTTTGCAGACAGAGAGTTACAGGACTCTCCCAGACCACAGACTCATACTCATAATACAAGTCAGAGCTTTATACAAAACAATAAATAAAAAAAGAAAGTTGTGTTTTCAAAATTGGAGTTCAAGTTATTTTTACTTACAATAGTGTTAACATGCTACACAGGTCATGAACAAGATTTTTTTTACATTTTCATTGTAAGTGGGCTAAAGCAGTTAATTAAAAGTAGTCTAACATAAATGTAAACGCTGTAATTTGATTATTTTAATAAACCATGTAACCTGGATGGATTCGATGCTGGCATGACCACAGTGCACACGTCTAATGTTGCTCACAGTGGTCCAAGTGTCCGCTCAGGGAGTTTGTGTGTTCGCTCAGACACATGAAAAATTAGAGGGAACATTGCTGATGGGCACCAAACAACTTTAGGGTTTATTTATGAAGCACACTATACCTCCCAATAATATATATCTGATGGATATAATGATCCAATCTAACAATTTGTACATGATTGTATGAATGGAAAAGAATAAAGAATCCCGTGTGTTCAGTTTTCACAGCCACAGCATCAGCACAGCTCCATCTGGGCTTCACTGCTTCTCCATTTGACCATTAAACTATACATCAACCACTACAGATTGCTCAGGCAGTAAAACATTCAGTTTCTTCATTTTTAAAATAAGAGAATAATGTGAACATTACTCATGTGTTTTGCAGTGTTCTGATGTGTGTGCTATCTAATCGAGTTCATGATTGTTAAATGTTGTGCTATTCTGAGTCTTGATCTTTCTGGGCTCTGCCATAGATCTATGCTAACCAGATGTTGACTCATCTGTCTGTAAAGGAATTTGCATACATATAAAATGTTTTAATATAAATGCTTTCTTTCGTTCAAACCTCCGTCTTTCACACATTCACTCAGCAGCAGTTTTTGCTTCTAGTTAGTTAGTTTATTGCCATCTAAAGCATTTTAAAAAGACTTCACATTCTGTTTAACAATACAAGCATTAAAAAATTTGTCAAATGTAGTGTTCAGAATCTGTTCAGAATATTGTACTGGAAGCCTATTTTCATGAGATTTAATAAAAAAAAGACTTTTATCGCGTTGTCATACCTGATATTAAAAGCTACAGATCTCAGTGTTGCCAAATCCCACTGTAACCCCAGACTGTACTCATTTTTCTGTTTAGGTGTGAAGTCATCCTCTTCCATGTAGGCAACAGAAAATACTTTACCTGTTGCCTGTTTCTACTTTGAGTACATTTCAGAGTCTGTACTTTTTCACTTTTACTCGAGTAAAAAAAGTATTTCAACTTTTACTACAGTATTTTTTAACACAAGTATCTGTACTTCTGTCTGTATTTTTTATTTTTTTTTATTTTTACCTCGGATCATTCAGTTATAAAACGTGAAACATTTCAGTAAGTTAATATGATATCCCTGTCATCTCCACATTTCCCATGCTCCTACTCTCCACCAAGTTTCCTAAAATTTGGCTTGGTGGTTACATATAATCCTACTAACAAACAAGCGAAAAAACATACCACTTCATTGGCTCATGCCTTATCAGAAGAAAAAATCTATTATAAATAGAACATACATGTATTTGTTTTCAGCACAGCAACCCAAATGATACCATGTGATCATTATAAGTGCGAGCACAATTATAGGTGCAACCCTTAAAGAAACAGACGTTTTCTGGTGGGACAGTATTACATGTGGCCCTAAAATAAATAATCAGTACATTTTTATAGCAGCTTGGGCACACAGTGTGCAGCAAGTCATGATAATTTAACTGAGTTCGTGTGAAAGTCCTGTGAAAGCTACAGCTGTTTGTTGACGATTCTTCGTGGGTTGAAGGTGTGTTCATCACTGAGGCGTGATAGCAACATGTTTACGTGGAATAACACAGGAACACGCACTCTTTTATACGTTGTGCATTTATTATCCCCATTTTCAAATAAAATACTTTTATTTGTGTAGTAGTTCATGACTATTTGCACACAAATTCCTCCACCCTTGTTTAGCATATATATATATATATATATATATATATATATATATATATATATATATATATATATATATATATATATATATACATATATATGTACCCCGCCTTTCGCCCTATGACAGCTGGGATAGGCTCCAGCGCCCCCCGCGACCCTGAAAAGGATAAGCGGAAGCGAATGGATGGATGGATATATATATATATATATATATATATATTTATGGAGTTATTCCTCTTCCAGTGCTGTTACAGTATAACCATGGCAACCAGTCTGGACTGTGTGAGCTGTGTTGCTGTAGTACTGCGAGGCCTCTGACAGGACATGTCTTCTTTCTTCCTTTTTTTCTCTTTTTCGCTTGAAGAAGCAGCTGCTCACGCAGGCTAATGAAGATGGTGTGTGCAGGCTTTTGTTGGCTTGTTGCAGTGCGCATGCTGATTTTACACTGCACGCCTGTGAGCAGGCCAGGGCAGCACCTCCTATGTATTGACGTCATACGCAACACTCCTCTCTGCCTGTGACTGCTGAAGCTGCCAGTTTCAGTTCTAGGATATTATTCATTAACATTTTTTCATTTGTATGGTTGTCACCAAATACAAAATGAAAATATTCATGAAGTGCTGGGTTGCAGGAAAAATGTCCAAATAATATCACAGCATCACTGTTTAAAATAAGTGGGAAAACACACAGAGCATGCACAGAACTCTCTCTGGTTGCTAATTTTCTGTGAAACCTTTAATAAGTCTAGTCCTCTCATGTATTGCTCAGAGCTGGATGTTCCTGGCCGAAGTGAAGATCTTGTTTTGATATTTGGAAACTTGAGCATCAGAGTGTGACAGTAACATACAAACTGTTATGTGAGTGCACATGTTCATACTGGCCCAGATGGACCTTTCTGAAAGGTCTAAACCTTGACCACAGAGTCGAAAGTAGGGATTAACTGGATTTAAATCACAGGCTTGGATGAAAAAGGCATCACATTGTTTATTACTGCTGCCAAATATGAGAAAATGCATCCTTTAAGGAAAAACATGAGGTCATTTTAAGTTTCTTTTTCAAATAAACTTTGGCTGGGAGAAGATGGTTTCTGTATCCTGTTCAATTTGACTTCTTATTCTGAAATTTTTCAACATTTTGTAGATGCATTTTGTAGATTATACCCAGTCATGTTACATGGTATTAACTCATCTAGTTACAAAGCTGTTTCTTTTTAGCACCACTTGCTAATGAGCTAATAGTAACAAACAGTAAAATCTCTCAGTTCAAACATTTCATATGTTTTCTATGTTCTAAAGTAAACAGGTTTGGGTTTAACAGATTTGTAAATCTTGTTTTTGTTTGTGTCTTACATAGTATTCCAACTCTTTGGAATGCTATGTAAACTTTTTGGAGATAGGTAAGTTGTGAACCAGGTTTCTTTGAGCTTCCTAGTTTATCTCAGTATTCCTGCCTTCTTGTGTTCAGGCAGACTTACAAACCCAAAAAGATATGTGTACCATAATTTAAACATATGCAGAAATTCTTGTGAAACCCTGAGCTACTCAAAGATAAATTCATATTTTAACAGGCAGATTGTTTCCCCCTAATCTTCCTTTTGGAACAACTCAAAAGGGGACTGAAGATAAATCTGACTTGTATATGTGAGAAAACATGAGAAAACCTAAGAGTGCCACTGGTTTATATTCCAGTATATGAATCATTACCTTGTGTCTATCTCTGCATTTTCCTTTGCATTTCCATCATCATTTAAAAAACAAAGCATGTTTTTAAGATGTTTTTCGTATATATGTATATATCTATAAATTAATTTTAAGCTATATTTTCCTCTCTGTGTGTTCAGGTCTATGGCAGAATGTCAAAGCAGACAACAAAAGAAAAGATGCTCACACTGTGTGTACACAGTGGGCTACCTCGCTACAAGCATCATCTCCTACCAAAGCCCCTTGCCTCCCCTCCTTCCTACTTCATGAATATTAGGGAATTAATGCTGGCAGGCAGGGAGAGCAGGAAGGGGCTGGGACAAAGAGAGAAAGAGAGGTTAGTGAGGGAAGCAAGCGTGGGGAAAGGGAGGGTGAGGAGAGCTGATATCGTCACAGGACCTGGCAGTGCGCAGGCTCTGAATGAGCTGGGTTGGCTGCCTATTGATTGGAAAACAACGGGCTGTAGGAGGACAGATAAGGGTGTCTGTGGGCTAACGGGTGAGGGTAGGGATACAGACCAAAGCTCACACTACACTTCACCTCCCTGAATTCTCCTCTCGCTCTGTTTTTTCACCCTGGAATGAATGCGACTGCTGCTGCTCATCTCTGGGTTTTGCTGTGAAGGGAGGTGCCTGTTCTTCTTCTCTGAGAAGATCCTGCCTACACACCACGCCAGGACAAAAACGGCTCCTCTAACCACAGGTAATCTGTCTTCTTGTCTGCACTCTAATCCCGATGTCTGTTCTTCCAGTCCTTCCCGTTATTCCGGACCCTCGTTTGCATCTTGCTACCATCTTTGCCTTGTAACCATGGTTTCCTCTCTTCTCTCCCTCCCCCATTACCTCTTTTTTTCCCCTTCCTCTGATGAGCTGATGACATGCACTTGCTTGATTTCCATTTCTGTCATGGCAGTAAATATTGATTTAAAAAGGAATCCTTTTCAGTTTATGTGGGACAAAATCACATTGATATGACTTTTTTATAAGCTTAAAACAATGATTGCTGTAAAAGATGTGACATTTTATTCTATATTCTTAATACACCACAGCCTATTATTTTTAAAAGCACTTAACAAGGCATCATTTGAAAATGCTCAAATGAATTGAGCAAAAGAATGAGGATAAAAGAATTCTTTAGAAAAAAAGAGCAAGGGAGCTGCTCTTTGATTTGTCTGATTCAGCAGTTGCTACTCAAAAATAGAATTAGAGATTTGGTTCCATTGCATTAAATGACCTCTGATGAGTTCAGGCAGTTGGCACTTCCATGCACACCTGAGACCACTACCACTCTCTGTGAAGGTCACATACAAAAAAAGCTGACACACAGATACAGGTACCTGCACATCTCTAACAGCTCCATCTCTATACTGTCACCATTTTTAAGGATGCTGTAAACTCCCACCTTTCCTGTGCCATGGCAAAATATTCCACATCCAGCTTAAACTGACCCAGCAGTAAGCAGAAAGGCTACTGCATGATGGGACGAGTGTTCTTAAGAAATTTAATTTGCAATTTTTGTTCTTAGCCTGCCAGATTTTCAAGCAGCAGTTCATCAATTCCTCCTACAAAGAGTCCCCACGGCGAGGTTTGAGTCAGCCACTAATTTCCATGTCTGTGCTCCTTATTTGGGAGACCAGATCCACCTAATTTGGCCTATTGACAGACACAAGTTGTCAGTCACCATTACATGTGTATGTGTTTGTCTTCTACTGCAGTGTGGACTGAAACAAGAGTTAAGACCATTAATGGGAGATCACTAACAAACAAAGTAAGCGAGCTACACAGTGAGGAGAGTAAGAAAGTAAGGGAGAGATTCTGAAAGACGATATCCGGCTGCAGCACTTTGCTGAGTGCAGCGATGAGAAGGAAGAGGCTCGAACAAGCTTGTTTTTAAATGGACTTCTCTGTACTTACCCATTTACGCCAGGCCACAGTCCAGCAAAGCACAAAGGAGCTAAATTAGTCCTCACTGCTGTCTGACACTGCGTCAGGCAGCCTGAGCAAAGCACAACTTGTCAGAAAAGATGTACTCCAGCACTGACTGTCAGCACCCTTCACTCTCTCTGGTTTTATTAAATTAAATCACATACACATACTATTTTTAATTAACATTTATCAGTGTATACTGGTTTTACTCTTCAGTTAAGTTAACTGAAGTATGATATTTATTTATATATTTTTACTACGAACTGTGTAAACAGTAACAGTAATTCACCAATTTAAATAGATAAATTCTATTAATCTTTTCCACATTTTGGTATCAAGTTTGACACTAGGCACCAACTCTGGAACATAAGCTAAACCACAAACTAATGGAATAAACTTTTGAATATAAGAATCTGAGAACTAATTTCTCAAAGGGAACATTTAACATACCTCATCCTGTAAGTTTTCTCTGTTCTTCTGAAGCTAAGCTTAATTTCACAGGAAAAAATGAAACATACCAAGGTAAATACCGTATTTTTCGGACTTTAAGGCACACGGAATTATAACAAAACGTGACTGAAATCTGCTTCGTAAGCATGTCTCTTAACAGGTGCCATTTTTGGGTCCTTATACAGATACCACAATATTATGTTCTCGCACAGTACGTATTACTCTGCGAGGCTGACTACCGTAGCCGTAATGCTCCGACAATCCATCAAGCGGTGCAGCTTCGTAGCTTACCAAAGTCGTACTAAAACATTTTGACATATTTTTCCATGCCGTGTACCACATAAAATCGGTTCGAGGTCAGTAAGCACAACCAGAATTAATACATGAGGCACCCTGTCGAATTTTGAGAAAATTAAAGAATTTTAAGTGCGCCTTATAGTCTGAAAAATACGGTACTATAATAAAACAATCAACACAAAAAAGCTGCAATTTGAAACTCTAATGGTCACTTGTGTTTTAGTAAAATTTTACCAATAAATTTGTTTATTTTCTAAAACATTTTGAAATACTGCTCTGAAGTCTGAAGTAAAAGCGTTATGATAGTGTTAAAAAATGATCCTTACCTATATGTTTGTACCACTACTGGAACATGAGTCAGTCCATCTGAATGAGAAGAACGTCTTCAGGTAACATTTATTGTGAACAAACGATACATTGATAGTTAATTAGTTTAGTTAATTAACAGAAAATGAAATGTATCAATATTATATGGATCCTTATATTGTATGTCTATAGTAGCAGTATAGTATGTGTTTATTTGGGGTGCAACGATACACAAAATTCACGGTTCGGTTCGATTCAATACTTATTACCTTATCCTATTCCGGCGTTTTTCTTCATGACACCAAAGTTTGGTTCGATACTTTGGTGTCACAGTTCGATATTTTTTCGATACAAAAAAATGTTCATGCCTTTTTAATTTGTCATTTATTAAAATTATAAATATATATTTTAACTCAAAAGTACAGTTTTTAAATTTCATGTTGCTGAAACAACAAAATAATAAAAAAAATTAATCTATCTGATCGAGAAATCACTCTTTGGAAAAGAGAGTTTATTACAGAGAAATGTCTCTTTCCAAAATAAAAGCTATACTATACGCTTCTTCTGGGCTATACTCTCAGCAGCATATTAAACATATCAGGTCCCCATAAGGAGAATCATGTGCTAACGGCTGTCTAAATGACTCGGGTAAAGTTTGTAGCATGCATGCTTGTTGTTTTTGTCTGCTTCCACTTGTCTTTGCACTAGGATGATGTCGGCGTAAATGTGCAGTCATATTCGTTGTGTTCCCACTAGTGCTGTCAGCGTTAATCTCGTTAAAATGACATTAACGCCATAACGCGGCAAATCTCCGTTAACGAGTTAACTCGGATCGTCCGTTGCGTGGGGCTGGATGGTGTCAACAGGTTAACAAGCTAACTGCGCTAACGCACTAGTTCCCACCAATTGAGCATTGCGTGGCACATCCGACATACTGTTTGACTTTTGTCCATGACGCGCTTACCATCAGGGTTATGCTTCACATGAAAACCAAAATAGTTCCAAAGGCCAGATCTGAATGAGGGTGGGGGAGGTTCAGTTTGCCATGTTGCAACGAGCTTAGCTTCTGTCTTGCTAGCTTGCGCTTCGCTCAGTGGATCTGCGCTCGACAGTGCAGCCTAGGCGGAGTAGTCGAACACAGATCCACTGAGCGCTCAACACAGACAGCATCGTCAGAAGAAAAGTTGATCGAATAAATAAAACATTTTGTATTGTTCGATAAATATGCATACCGAACCGAAAGCACTGTATCGAACGGTTCAATATCGATACGAGTATTGTTGCACCCCTAGTGTTTATGTATGCTATCTCAACCTGATTGGTTAGGTTTAGGTAATAAAAAGCATGGTTATGTCCAGGAAAGGTTGTGGTGTGGGTTAAAATTGCTCTTAAACAACCATTAAAAAATAATAATCAGCTGAAATGTATGGAATCAAAGGTTTCGGTTTGTTTTTTTAATTCAAATAATTAATCATTAAGGAAAATGTGCTTGGTATAAACTGAATAGACACCAATGATTTGGCCAGATTCCATTAAATATTTTACAGTTCAATTATGTAATAAAACTGCATGGAAAATGTTCATGTAATCCAAAATTATTTTTTCAGTATTTTTTCAGTGTATATCAAGCAAAGCTTTGACCAACACAAAAATAGCACGATTATAATATACAATGTACTTTGTCAAATGGTTCTATAATTTCATGTCCCAGAATATTGAAGCGCTCATCAGTTAAATCATTGTTGGTGTACTTAATTAACTGGTTTACCAGTAAAGCAAACTGGTTCGGTCCCCCCTGGGACCTGGTCCCCTTCTGGCACACCTACCTCTATCTCCTCTTTGTCTAGACGTGCTGGTGTCATTCCACATGAGGACAGAGAGGCATGATTTATGCTAGACCAGATAAATCCTTCTGGGACACTGGTTAATAAAGCAGATGGAGACAGATGGAAATCACGAAAAACCTTTGTGCTGTGACTGACCAGGTCTTTTCTTTAAACACATTTGTGGCCTTGGCTTATTAAGCAACATATGCTCAAACTTAAAATGTCTTGAATTTAAAAGCCCTTCAAAATTCAGCAAAATCAGTTCATTAAATGCTGCATGACTCTGTTTCCTGCAGGACTCAGACATTAACTTGATAGGGGACACTATGGAAGCCCCTCTTGTGTGCTTAGATGAGGAGTTTGAGGACCTCCGGCCCTGTAGGATGGATGAGATGGACCAAAGCCTCATCAACGACTCCTACTCCACCACCACCACCGTCCCCCTGGCCTCCATCACCCGTGAGGAGTTCTCTGAACTGGAAAACTTCTCTGAGATGATGAGCTTCAAGTCAATGGAGGACCTGGTAAATGAGTTTGACGAGAAGCTCAATGTGTGCTTCCACAATTACAACACCAAGACGGAGGGCCTGGCGCCCATACGCAACCAGTCACACAATCAGGAGGACGAGGAGCAACTGCAAGATGAAGAGTAAGTGACACAATATCTGAAGCAAGGTTTACTTATTGGAATCTTTCAGTCTTTAGTCATCTGTTACTGTGTATTTCCAAACAGCTGTGGTAATAAAGGATGTGACACTGTTCAGTGTGTAAACTATAACGAACCCAGAACAATTTGAGCTTAACTTGAGGCACCAATTCTAAACCCAGCTAAAATCCCTTTAAAAACAGAAAAAAAATAAAGTCAGTTTCTGTTACTGCAGATACAGTCTACAAGGGTTTGTTTTATTTGGAATTATCGTAAAAAAAATAATGTTTGAGTGAAAAAGTTATTAATCTATATTCTGTCTTTAAATTTTCTGTCCCTTGGTGAACCTGCAGGATCTCTGCTACAGTTATGTTGACATAGAAAGTATATGAAAGAACATTTTTAGAAACATGCCTAGTCCCCTAAAGAAATACAGGAGGTAGAATATCAACAGACATAAAAAAAAGAACAGCCTTTCATGTTAATCAGTTAGCAATATGCTCATTATGCTTCCATTTACAACACACACACTGGAGGCTGAAACGACTTGGCAGCCTGGAACAAAAGCCAAAACATTTCCACACACAGACCACAACATCCCCAAACATGCAGTCAATCAGCACTGTGACCCCACCCTCCCCACCTCCACCATGTCAGGCTGCATGCTGAATTATTCAGCGTGCAGCGTCGTACGCCTCAGTTGGCTTTGGCTCTGTCCCAGTCTCTGCCTCTCCTCTGACTGCCAGAGCCTCCTCCTCTTGCTAGCAGCTTCTGAGGCGTTCTCTGAATCATGCTAAATATAGCTTGACTGTAGGTGTGACAGCAGAGTTTTTTGGAAAGGATTATATGACTTTGAGCAATGATTAATTTCTGGTGAGAAAGGTGAGCTTTTATTGGTTAATAAAGCTCTGAGTGAGTACAGAGCAGAGTGAAAGGCAGTGGGTGGATTGATACACTAGTGTCATAAATAAGGAAACCATAAGAAATACATTTCAATCAGACATACATGAGTGTTCCATGTTCCTCAGAAGAGTTTGTCCCATGAAGAGGTGGTACTGGTGTTAATGAAACTGGAAGGTTTGCGTTTTGTTATGTCACACAGGAGCAAACAGGAGAAGCTGACACACCAACAAAACTAATCACCAGTCTAAATCTGCAGCTTGGTTGAAAACCCTATGTGGCACATTTTGGAGTAATCCCTGCAGTCCCTGATCTGAAACTCAGCTTTGAGTGAATCTGTCAAGCTGATGGAGAGCTAGAAATTTAAACAGAATGATTCCTGTTGTGTGGCTGCAGGCCAGGAAACACAGCAGGACAGCGTTGGAACATGGACCTCCACTCCCTGTAGGCCAGATGACCAACCATGTGTTATAAACACAGAACGTGCTCTTCATGTGCTGCTCTGGTTTCTGATGTGGTTGTGACTGGTTACGTTGGCTTTACTGCATTTCAATTCTTCAGTTTTATTTATAGGAAAAAGCATCACATAAGAAGACTGGTACCACTTGAAGTGTTATATAAAGCTACAGCCACCAGTCAGCTAGCTAGACTCAGTGTGTAACCAGGCTGAAATAGTAAAAAATGTTCTTACTAGCACTGCCCTTGGCACATACTCATCTGTGATATTAGTGCAGTACTAAATGCAGTAATCCCATCTGGATTTGAAAGCATGTGCGACTAGCTCAAGGCTGTTAAAGAAAGGAAAGATTAGATAAAAATCTTATATAGAATAAGATACTGTATCCTGTAACAATATATTAGAATAGAATAGAATAGAATAGAATTATCCTTTAATTGTCCCACAAGGGGAAATTTGGTTGTAACAGCAGCCAGAAAGACACATATATAACAAACAGTACACAGGACACAGAACAGAAATATACACATTTTTTCTTACACATTTACATTAAGGACAATAGTTACTATAAACAGAGTACTGTACAGTTATTAAATTAAATAAAATTAACAACAGATAAGAGGCAAACCCAGGTTGTAGTGTAAATCGGTTGATTAAATTATTGTAGTTAAAGCGCAGATGTAAACATCTATGATTGTTGTTTTGATTGTACAGTCTGACAGCTGCAGGGAGGAAGGACCTGCGGAAACGCTCCTTCATGCATCGAGGATATTAGTTATATTAGTTAGTTAGTTAAAATCTGGTATCCTGAAGGGGTGCACAGTATATTTTGTTGGTCAGAAGGTCCTTAATACTGTATAACAGAATAGAAATCCAACAGTTAGAAAATACAGTACAGTGCAAGTTACAGCATGTTGCCTGAACACTTACAGTACACTCAGTGCAGCTGTGCACTGTGTCTACAGTGTGATTGTGGTGTGTTGTTGACACTTCTAAGCAGTTTTTTTCCCCTGTATTCTGATTTAAGCTCTTTAGTTTTAAAGCAATACCAATGCACTTGAAATCACTTTGTAGCGTACTGCCACATTAATATAAAAAGGCAAACTCTGCGACCAGAGCTGTTAATGATCCTGCAAATTAGAATCGCATTGGCAACAAATATACCTCTGAAAACCCAGAGAGGTGCCATCAGGCTTTGTTAACTTTTAGGAAAACTAGAACTAATCTTTGGCCTGGTGTGAGCAGCCATGACACACAGGCATGACTGGTGAGGTAAGCTGCCAGCTCAATGGAGTCCACTGTGTAAGCAGGCAGAGGCAGTGCCACTGGGAGCAGGGAAACAGGCCTCAGCCAACCTCTGAGTGACACACACACACACACACACACACACACACACACACACACACACACACACACACACACACACACACACACAAGCTCAGACACAAAGGACACTTCTCTCCCAGTTTTTACTTCACTCTGCCTCAGACAGACGCTGGGAGAGTTGGAGAACACTTTGTACAATGATGTGAGGAACTTTATCTAAATCTCTGCTGCGGATACCGTTTAACACGTAGTAAGCTGCACTTCTTTTCTATTGTGCACTGCTGCCCTGCAGTCCTGAACTCCACCACAATGAAATATTGACTGAGTTGAAGAATGCTGAACATAGGGCTGAGTACATGGCTTTTTACAATCAGAAAAACAAATCTATTGAGGGCAAAAGCTGAGGGCAAAAATTTTGTCTTTATACTTCTTTTTGATATTTGCTTGAGTAGGTTTGCATTTTGACATGGGTCTGTGTTGTTTTGCAGTGTGTGGGATGCTCTAACTGACAACTACATCGCCACCTGGGACGGCACCGACTCGGAAGGAATCAACGGCAATATCTCTGACCAGGAGGTACATTTCATGCCACGCCTTCATGTTTAGTTTAAATCTAATTAATATAATATAATATACATGTAGGAATAGCTTTGCACTATTTATATGCAAATTTTTATTCTCATCAATAGTAAAAAAGCACCTTGAGATGACTCTTGCTGTAAATTAGTATTAAATATAAACGAATACACTGAACTGATAGCAAACTATTCTGATGAGCATCCTTAGCACTGTGGTGTAATGTGGGTGCTGAATGAATGGGAAGCTCATTCTCTGGTCCACTCTAATGTTTGTTTACACATTTCATCCTTACATGAACACGTCTGACCCAGAAAATTCACCTCACAGTCAAATATTTACATGTTGGTCTATTCGCTTGCTATGAATGGTTAACTACATTCACTAATTTCTGTGTTTGTAAGGATAATCATGATGCTTTTCTTAAAGACAAATGCTGTGTGTCATTATTTTCCATCTCGATGTGCTAAAATGAATTGTATGACTAGTTTCTGCTCCTGTAAAATTCATTTCATGCTGACAATTGAAAGCATGCCTGACCACTCGTGACTGGTCTGGCATTCAGCTAAGCTCTGCCTCCTCCTCCTCTGTTTCCTTGATTGCCTGTCAGATTCAGCTGGACAGCAGACACTTAGTGTTCTACGCCATGTTTGGACTGGTGAAGGCCAGAGGAGCTGTGGTTATCACAGGAGCAGAGGGTGGCTGTGGAAATGTATCACATTCATGCCTTCAAGCTAAAAGTTTTATACCTAGAGAGACACAAAATATTTAACATATGACAGCTTCCTGTGAGGACAATCTTTTCTCTGCATTTATACCTCTGATTGTTTCTCCTGCCACACTTTTTAAATATTATAAAAATGTGGTTCTATTTAACTCGAAATGAGTTGAGCCACAAAATAGATTTTCCTTTTGTAACATGGATATTTATCACTTTCTCATTATTGTATCAGCATGGAGGAATGGATAAACTGTTAAATGCTAAGTTGATAATAAAACGTATGGTAACAGTGCTTAATTAAAAAAATGTTTGGTACATGCACCATCATATGTGATCATGCTATCTATTTGCTCAATAGCACCACAGACAAAGTATAGCTGAGGCTTAATGGAAACCCATAAGTTTTGAACGTTGCTAGAGCAGCCATGATCAAAGTCAAGAGCGCTGCAGCCAACTTAAAAATCAGAAAATTCATCTTCAATAAAAGTTCAAGAGAAAGTGATGTATTTCTCAAATGTTATTTGAAAAATATAAAAACATAGGCTGTTTCACTATAGCTTGCTAATGCTCAGTCATAGTGACCCATCTGCCACTGGGACACAAACGTCAATACAAGAGCATCAAATTTAGGTCAGGCTAATGAGTAATATCACAAACTAACCAGCTCCTATTCGAATGTTTTATTCACTTTTTATATCGATAAATACATTTATAAAAAATATTTAACTCAATATACTTGCGAGTCATTTCAAACTGTTCTGTTAGTGCTGTAGCCCATCTACAGTACCTTTGTGGACCACCAGAGGTGATTCATGTATCACTAACGTAAAAGGTCCAGGAAACGTTGTGAGGAGTAAAGATATTTCACAAAAATATCTCCTCCTGTGGATCCTGCTCACAGTTCAGGTTCAGGAGACAGACACCCTCTCTCTAGCCTCCTCCTTCAATTCCACACGTAAACAGGATGCAGTCTATTTACATGCTTTTAAAAATGGAATGAGTAAGTGGTTTTTAAAATGTGATAGTAATGTAACAGTAAATTATGTAAAACCTTTTAAATATTTAAACATCAGACTTAGAAATGAACTCAAGTGGCCAGTTGGGGTCTGGGCTGGAGGGCTGCTCTCCTGATGTGGGGACCAGGATGGTCTGCTTGTCTCCACCCCAGACTGAAGGGGAGGCATCTCCTGAATCTGGGGGCTGATTGCCTATCTGGGGGTTATTGGTGTTTGGACCTGGGAGTATAAAGTGTGTGTACGGCATCCATTTCTGTGTGTCTCCAAAGAGGGTGTGTGTCTGCCTGTTTGTCTATGTGTACATGTCACCCTCCCCCTCTCTCTTAGAACATCTCAGGCTCCCTCAGGTGTGGGGGCCTATTTCCCCCTGACACATTCCCTGCCAGTGACTGTTGCCCCCATCTGCTGGTGCATTGGTACTTCTCGGTATCTGGGTCTGGATGCTCGGTTCTGTACTGGCTTGTTCCTGGTGGCTGCTTGGTGGGACCTGGGCCCCCTGGATTTGTCTGCTCTTGGTGGGGGTTGGGGTGTCCTTGGGTCTCGGGCTTGGTCTGCTCCGGTGTAGCCAGTGGAGTCTGTGAGCTTGTCGCTGCAGTCACCTGGAGCGTCTGCACTGTGGCTGCTGGGTGACCCCTCCCCAGGGCTCTCCTTTGCTCTTCTCTGAGTGGGAACTGCGGTTGTCCCTGTGGTGGTCCACCTGGGGCTCTCACGCTCTGGAGGGCCTCTACATTTCTGGGGCCCAGGTCTACTGCTTCAGGTCCTGGGGGATGGGGCTGAGCTCCTGACACCCATTATTAAACATTAAATGGAGAAACTTTATGAACACAAGCACGCTCACGCAGACTACTCTACTTGCCAAAGTGAATCTGTCTACCATTTTTTGCTGGACAGAGCAGGGAAAAAATGAACACAACTCCTGAATGAGCTGTCATTCAAACACACCAATTGATTTTTTTTTTTTTTTGAATGTGTATTTTCATCAATTACTCCAATGCAAAGACATCAGCATTTGACTCTTGCTGGCATCCTCACCACAGTAATCTGTTGGCATAATTTATCATTTGCAGATTCATGAAAAAGAGGAGGAGGAGATGAATGAGAAGAACGACAATGCCAACTGCCTGAATGAAGAACCTCTTATCACAGCAGATCAGGTCTGAGTGTGTGTGTGTAAAAATCAAGTGAACGGCAAATTTTTTGTGACCAACACGTTTCAGCTTGTGGCCTTCATCAGCGTCATGCCTTCATCAGCGTCATTGCAAAATGTCAAACAGTTTGTGTTTAAATAAAAAACAGGAAACAGAAAAAATCCAAGTGGACCAATCACACCTTCACAAATAAACAAGTTGACCAATTAAATTTAACGAGGTGGTACTGGCTAATTGGCTAATTGGTTAAGCCACAGCCCAAATAGATTCTGGACTGAACCACTACAGATTAAAAGGGGGACACCCCCAAAATGTCTTAAAGTAATACATACTCAAAATTACACAGAAAAATGCAAATAAGTTAAAATAAAAATAAGTACATTAACATTAAAAGAGGGAGAAACAATAACAAAATCTAGTTAAAAACACAGAAACACAAAAGTAAAGTCCACAGAAACTCATTAATAGATAAATCCTCAGTCATGCTTGTAGGGTGTAAACTCTTTAAACAGATTGGTCAGCTTGTTTATTTGTGAATCCCTCCATTTCTGTGTTCAAGGTCATTGAGGAGATAGTTGAAATGATGGAGAATTCTCCAGATCCTGGTGAAACTGAGGAGGATGAGGAGGAAGAGGTCAGTCACTCCTCCTCCAGGACCAATCTGTCCCTGCTAGAAGAGATCAGGCAGCTGTCACAGGCTTCAAACAACAACTGCTCCTATGAAGGTAAAGCTGTGAATAATCCATGTTTCTGGTTATTTCTTATTTTCATTTGACTTATGCAATGTCCTGACTGAGCTGTTTTAACTAATTTATTCTAATGCTATCGTTCAGGATTACCTCGTAGACTAGATATAATAGACTAGACTTCATAACAAGTGCATATTTTCTGTTAAGTAGCATGTCAGAAATGTGATAATTTCCTATTAAAGTCATCCTTTAGGTCAAAATTAAGGTACATACCTCAAGATAGTAATAAAATACCAAAGGTGTGACTCTTATTTGGTATTATCATCAGTTAAAGCTAAAAACTATAATCACCCTTTTCATAAAAGCTCCAACATGAATCCATTTAAACCTAACGCAAAGATACAATGTTCAGGGAAAAATAAGTCTCAAATACAACTATAACTATCCATCTGTGTACATTAGTTATCTCATTTAGTTAGTTTGAAGATGAGAGTTTAAGAGGTCAATAACTTTTCTTTACAACTAAAAACTGTAAATAATAATTAGTTAACCTTCTTAAAGAAACATCAACAGAAACAGCATTAAACATGCAGCACATGCGCATCTGTGCAGGGATTATCAGCTATGTCAGTTAGCATTACCAAGCTAACTTTAGCAAACATGAAATTTTGGCTGCACTGAGAAATCACCATATTAAAAACAAAGTAAAATGGTGGTTGTACAATAAATTAAGCCACCCACAACACTAAATGAGTAAAATAAACCTTTCTTTTTTGGCTGCTATATCTAAATGTTGCTTCCATATTTTAGTGGTTTTCAGCTACTTTTACGCTATTTGTACTTCTACTTTTCCACCATTGAGAAGAGCACTCAAAAGGTTACAGATACAGATAGATATTTGGAGTCAAAAGCCTTTTTATATAGTTTAGATTCACAGTTGCAATGTAATGACAAAAAAATTGCCCCGTGACTGACACGATATGTGTGTCATAATATGAACACCCTGCACAATAATCACCTTGCAAATTGGTCACATGTACCAAAGTGGTGGAAACACCTCATGTTTAACCCTGTAAGACCTACCATAGAACCAAGGCCGCAAGAGCTTACTTTATATTTTTACATGCTGTAGTGCCATTTTTGGGAGTATTTCAAGTTGCTATGCATCAATACAACTGTTATAGCCCATATTTTAATAATATGTATGCATTAAGTCCATAGTAACTACATAAATTGCAAAAAAGTGCATTTTTTTATGCAATTTTTGAAAAGCTATATGTGGAAGGAAACTCCTCTGGTTTCATATACAAAAAAAATTATTGCGCTAGCTTACACGGTTCCGTTCTACAGGGATTTAAAAATAGTTACGCAAAACCATGAAGAAACCAGCTGTTTTGTTCACATTGTCTTCTTTTTTAAAATAACTGGCTAACACTCTCTAACACCATTCTTTTTTTCTCGGGAATTTTACTATATGAAACAAGTAAATACTGTACAGTGGACGAATACATGAATACATGGATCAAAGACAAACGTGTTTTTTAGGAAATTAAGTATTTAATAATGCTGATAAAATTATTTTTTTCAAGTATCTGGGGGAAGTGTATACTAATTAAAGAGCCTTGGTCTTATTGTGAAATTTAATTGCAGTTAGAGAGATTTAAATAATAATAAAAATAAAAATAATAATTTCAAAATCGATATTCACTCATGTATTCATTTTGTTATTTCACAATTCTTTTTTAAATGGTGGAGACTTTACGTGCAGTAAATGGACGTTATGGCACTATATCTAGTGTGGGTGTAATATAATATTATTTTCTGCCTCAACATGCATTTTACATGATCAAATTTGTAATTCAAAAAAACTTCCCAGTTGAGCTAAAGCATTACAGTATGAGCAGCCACAGACAACGTCTTTAGGCATCTGCGATGTAATATAATGATTACACTGTACCAGCTGCATTGTCAGAAATGTTTCTCCCAAGCTGCTGTTTTGTTTGTGTTCTTTTTACAAAATACTGATTGCACTTCCTTCCTTTATACGCTGAGCTATCATCAGGGACTGCTCATTATGTTATTCATACAACAGTACCTTATTCATATAGCAAAATTACCCTGGGCCGCATTAGTATACATTACTGGTAATTAATACTGTCACAGTGGCACCGATTCCCAATAGTCAGACTATTCAAAGAATATTATTTTACTGTTAGCATCCTGCTTAACTCTAATGATTCCCACAACCTTTCTGCTCTCAAATCCATCCTGCAGGCCTGAGCCTGATGCCCAGCTCAGCGCTTGTTGAGCTGCTGCACCGGGTGGAAGTCGCCATCCGTGAGTACTCAGAGGAGCTCGTCAGCCAGTTGGCTCGTCGTGATGAGCTGGAGTTTGAGAAAGAGGTGAAGAACACATTCATCACGGCACTAATGGAGGTGCAGAACAGGCAGAAGGAGCAACGAGACAGCAGCAAACGCAGACGTCGGGACAAGGCCATGAGCCTGCAGGGGGGAGGGACAGTGCCTGTGAATGGAGGCAACGATAGCTCCACAGGCCAGAAGACAGGGACCATGCTTGTTAAGGTGGGTAATGGTGCTAATCTCAAATATTAACAATATGAGGCATTTTATGAATGTGCAGATTTCTTTTTTAAACTTTTCACTGTAAATTACAGGAAGGTAAAACAAGAATGCCTGCAAGCTCTTCCTTTCCCCATCCTCTTTAACTGTTAGTATAATGGATATCTAAAGGCCATTAGCCTCTAAATTATCTTCCAGGAAAGATTATAAAGTGGCTGTGACCCATCATCTATGTACAGTAACTGCCCAGTGCAGTCCTATCCAGCAAAAGAGAAACTGCCTAATGGATTTCCTCTCCATTCGATGTAGCAGCAGTCTGAGTGCTGTGAGTCTGGCTCTTGGTACCTTACTCTCTGTTACTGAACTAATATGAGCATACCGATGGCTTAAGGAAGTGGATGCAATATATACAATAAATTGCACAATGATACCATGCTGAAATCTGCTGAAGAATAATTTAAAAAATGAATTTTGTCATATGAATTGGTAGTTTGTAATAATGGTCACTATATCTTTGTATGTGTGTGTGTCCTACAGCGTTTCAGCATGGAGGGAATTTCCAACATTCTACAAACAAGCATCAGACAGACATTTGGAAGCACAGGGAATGACAAGCAGGTAAGGTTTAAATGTTTTAAATAAAAAACAAAAAAACCCAAACAAACATGCACAGATGAGCCAACCCATTATGAATACTCACAGATGGAGCAAATTATATAATGACATATTTAGGCGTTCTCGTTTCATTAGACGGTAAGTGAACAGTTGGTTCTTGTAGTCAGCCGTGAGTGTAAGGCGACTGGCCATCCTTAAGCGTAAGGATGGCCAGTCGGCTGTGTCAGAGAACCTCCTGAAACTAGAAAGCCTGTTAGATGCCTCTGGTGAACAGCTGCAACCACCAGCTGGAACCAGCTACATGGTTTTGACTTCTCAAGGTTCACTGGTGCAAAGAAAATAAAGGCTACCTTAGCTGGCCTGAACTCAGCTAATGCACTGTGGAAAGAAGACCAGCAGGTGTAAGGGTGAAGATCTCCAACTGTATACTGTATGTTGACAGAGGTTTTCTCGGTACTTAGATTGGTTTGCAATGATGGACGGTTCAGATTCAAAGTTTGGTGTTCTTAGAGCTATACTGCAAAACAGGAGCCGGACTAATCCTGGTGACTTCAGGCTTAATCCAGTATTTCAGTAGTACGAAGGTGGCTGACGTCATGCCAGGGCACATCTCCATGACTTAACAGAATTTCATGATATTTTGTCAAAAGTAGCTTGACAAATTGATACTACTCTCATGTTACTTGTAATGTAAAGCTACAAGTAACTCACTAGCTTGATTGCACTTTGGTTGAACAAAATTCTAATTTAAACAAACAAACAAAAAAGTCTAATTTAAAAGAAAAGAAAAAGAGAGAAATGTAATCCTTCAGATTAACAGAGGCTACTTATTACTCTCTTATTAGTCTGAGAAAGCCTTCTGAACCTTTATTCTGTTTCAGTACCTAAACACGGTTATTCCATATGAGAAGAAAAGCACCCCTCCATCTGTTGATGACCTGCAGATGCTCACAAAGAGTAAGACCACACCAGAACATCTGTAATAGAGCCAAATAAAAGGCAGAAGTAGTACATTCAGCCTTGTTGTCTGCTTTTTTCATGCAGTACTCTATGCCATGAAGGAGGACAGTGAGAAGGTGCCTACACTGCTGACCGACTACATCTTAAAAGGTAAATGCAAACACAGTCTTCTACTCACTTTTGTAGCGTTTTACACAGCACAGTGGAAAACAGGGACATTTTCTGTTCTTGAAATATTGCCTGTCTGAACTTCTTGGATGTTGGAAACTATATCAAGGCAGTTTGTTCTGTCTTCCTCTTCAGTCCTGTGTCCTACCTAAAGCGCCACCAAGCCAGAGGCAGCAGTGTGATGGAAACTTCCTTCTCCAAGGGCATTTCTGACCTTACTTTCCTCTGGTTCAAGCTGCATGACCTCCCCTCTTTTACCATTACCAACTATGGATCCTCACCATCAACATTATCATATTCACCTCAACTACAACTACTGCCTTTCGCTGAGCTCACTTCCTCCCTTCCCTGCGCATCAAACTCAGGCCACAAAACGGTGACCATCTGAATAACAAGTGGAACAGCCGATTCCCACTTTTAACAGACTTCACTTATGGAGCATGACATAATGACCATAACACCACTTTGGTACAGTGATAGCGTTATTACTGCTTTCTTTTCCTTCATTACTTTACTTTCTCTTGTTTTTAATTCTAACAGAATTTCATTGATTTTTGAAATCATAAAATGACCTCTTAACCAGTGATGGTTTTGTACATTGATTCTTTTCATAAGGACTACACTGTCAGAAAAATTAAACTACATACTGCATCCACACACGTCTTCGTATGGTTTCTGATTAAAAAAGTGATTAATCTGAATACAAAAGCCATGCACTTTTATCTGCCAACTTAGCACTGTTACTCCGTGTACAGGAGCGGAAACAATACTATTACGGGTGCAGTGCAGTGAATTACAAAGCTTTTTTTCTTTACTTTTTGCTTTTTGCTAATTATCCAGTGCTCTTCTGACTTATTTCTAATTTCTTTTTACGTGTATCTAAATATTTGATATGGACTCTGTTTATTTTGTACTTTTATTTACTGTGTCATCAGAGTGACAGGTATCTGTGCATTCATCCCTATCCAACTACATGGAGATATATCAGTGGATATCATCCCCCGATGAAAGAAGCTCATTTCAACAGAGTTGTGCATATTAGCATATTTATGACTTCCTTTGTGTCATGTAGGTGAATGTTACATCGCTAATTGCAAATTCTAATAAACATTCTACCCCAGTTGTGTGTTCATTTGCTTCTGTTTTGCATTTAGTATGATCACTCCTGATAAATTACACAAGTTTTTTTTCTTTTTCTTTTTTCATTTGAATCTATTCTTTGGAAACTTTGACTTTTACAAGTTATCAAAAAAGACAGACAAAAATGTTTATTTCCTCAGGACTACTGTGTGAGTGCAATTTTGACTGGGGATACACATGTAGTTTCTAATATTCCAGTCCAATAATATATATCCTAATATTCCAATATGTCTGGATGTGTTTCAACAGCTGCCAAATGGCCAAGATGCTTTTAGAAGCTCTTATGTTTCTGTAATGTGTCTAAAATTTGGCAAAGACTTTTTTTTGAGAAGGATCTTTATCGGATGCTGATAATACCTACATTTAGAAAAAAACAGGAATTCAGTGCACAATGTTCCTGCTCACTGCAAATTTATTGTGACTAAAGAGATTATTTAAAAATGATTATTATTTGTTTCAAAACAAAAAAAATTCTCACTTTCCATGAAAACAAACTCTACAATTATAAGTATTTTATCATATTTCTGCCCTATATTAAACAAACACAGATTTATTGAGGACAGTATAAATCAGGCTTACACAATTCAGCCATACGCCACATCTGTGAAATAGTAAGATCTTGCTCAAGCTCTGTCATGATAGGAGGCAATAAGACGCAGGGTTTATTCAGCACGGACTACTTTTATTGAACTGTAGCACCAGTGTACGTGGCTACATCAATTTTCCAAAAACATACAGTGTTCCAGCGACCTCTAGTGGCCGGCCCCATAGTAGCCTTACTAGTACAAGAAAAATAAATCTCACAACATCTTCCCCTTTAACAAAAGTACTTTAAATATAAAACAGTGTTGTCAGAACGTACGACATCACAGGGGTAGACTACCCTCAGTCCTGATAAGGTATTATTCTGCCCTTAGAACATAGAAAGGAGATAGTCCTCAGTCTCCCTTTGGAGCATCCCTTTGGCAAACCGTGTCCCTATTGACTGGACTGGGCAACAATGTCTTTTCGAGTACTGCAATCGTTTGCCAGGGGCCATTGGGCAGAGGAGTAGTCACGAGGGGTTCCCGTCGCTGTGTAGGCTTGTGCTCTCTGCAAAAGTTGCATGATCTCACCTTGTGTGTCATTTGAAGTCCAATGGTGGGCCACCACACTGTTGATCTTGCACGCTCTCTACATTTAGTTAGTCCTTGGTGGCCTTCATGTAATTGGTCAAGGACACTGGGTCTGAGTGCTGTGGGAATTACAATGCGATCGTGGTAGAGCACTAGACCGTCTGATTCTGAAAGGTGGCTTCTGGCTGCATAGAAGCCTTGCAGTGATGAACTCTTTGCCATTCTCAAAGGCCACCCTTGTCTGATGAAAATGATTGCTTTTTGAAGCTCTGGGTCCATCTGTGTAGCACTGTGAATTTCCTCCAACTTATGTGACTTGATAGGTTTGCTTGTCACTACGTTGCTCACATATACCTTGACCCGGCTGTCTGTCTCGAACTGATAGCATCCACATGCAGTGGATGTCTGGAGAGTGCGTCCGCCACCACTAACTGTTTACCGAGAACATGCTCAGCAGTGACACTGAATCACATCAGTCGCATCAGCAGTCTCTGACATCTCAGTGGTGTTTGGTCAAGGTCGTATGAGTTGATCAAAGGCACCAAGGGCTTATGGTCAGTTTGTACACATACATGACCCATGCCTTGGATGTAGCGGGAAAAACGTTCACAGGCCCAGACAGATGCTAAACACTCTTTTTCAATCTGTGAATATCTTTTCTCTGCATCTGTGAGAGTGCGAGAACAAAAAGCAACAGGCCAAAACTCCCCATCATGGTCCTGTAACAGTGCAGCATGCAGGCCATAGCTGCTTGGACCTGTTGAGCTTAAGGCCTGATGCTTTGATTGTCAGTAATACTGCATCTAAGCGTTGGTCATGCTCCTCTTTCTTAGCCCCGAAAACCAGTATGTCGTCCATCACAATGACAGTCCCATCTAGGCCCTTGAGCAAAGTGCTCATGAGCCGCTGGAAGATCTCGGGTGCTGTTATGCCAAATGGCAGACGCCTGAAGCAAAACCTGCCCATGGGAGTTATGAACGTGGTCAGTTTTTGGCAGCTGGGGTCCAGTGGAATTTGCCAGAACTCACTGGAGGCATCCAAAGTGGAGAAAACTTTGGGGCGATCGTGGCTCAAAGAGTTGGGAGTTCGGCTTGTGACCGGAAGGTTGCCGGTTTGAACCCTGGCTTGGACAGACTCGGTCGTTGTGTCCTTGGGCAAGACACTTCACCTGCCGCCTACTGGTGGTGGTCAGAGGGGCCGATGGCGCGATATGGCAGCCTCGCTTCTGTCAGTCTGCCCCAAGGCAACAGTGGTTGTGTGACTGGAGGAGCTATTGGCTTTTGCGGTATGTAACTTACTTTGTTAACTTACATTACAGCAAATTTATGCATTTTGTCCACGTGTTTATTTTTCTGTTTTGCAGCTGGTCTGAAGGCTGGTGTTTATTCTCTGCTGCAATTAATCATGACTTGCGGTGAAGCTCTATGGAGTGGCTCGATGGACAAAAACATAAATATTACACATGTGGCCCAGAGAAAGAAGACTCGCGTTGTGAGTTTGCTAACCCTGATGTTTCCCTGCACATCAAGGATTGCTGTTAAAGCAGAATTGAAGTGTACTGTTCAAACACAGGGATTTTAAGTGGCACCATAGTGGGTTAAAACAAACAAACAAACATAAAAAAAAGACATGTCGGTTTTTCCTGTGACTTTCATATTGTGGACAGTTAGAGCAAGGAATGCCAATTTCTCATGGTGAATCTTCAAAGACAGAGCAGAGTGGGTCTGCTTCAGTGGCGCACTGATCAGGTAATGAAAGCTGAACTTGTGTGAATTTCACTCTGGGTCTGTAAAAACTCAGATGAGCAATGTTCTGCCTGTAAAACATTGGTTTGATGTGTAAGTAACTAATCCACACCAGGATTATTTATAATAAAAGCATTTTTTTTTTAAATTGTGGATTTACTACTTTTCCTTGATTATTAAAGGACTACAACACCCAAACTAGTCATTACCTTTGCTTGAATTTTTTCTTTTTTTTTATTATAGCGAAAGTAGTCTTCAGGAAAAGTTCTCCAGGCTTCTTGAAGGACATTCAATTCAGTTCAATTCAAGTCAAGTCAAGTCAAGTTGGCTTTATTGTCACTTCAACCATATACAGTTTAACAGTACACAGTGAGGCGAAACAACGTTCCTCCAGGAACCAAGGTGCTACATGCAACATAAATTTACAACATAATTTAACAGAAAACTCTAAACTAGCTAACTAAGAGGCCTAGTTAGCTGGCTAGCAGAGACAAGACAGACTGACCTAACATAAATTACAACATAAATTAACAAAAAACTATCTAACTATCTCTAAGGATGACTTTTTTTTTTTGTTATCAGACAGCAGACAACAAAGTGCACGTGCAAATGTGCAAACAAGAGCAGCAAGTGACAGTGTGACAAAAAAAAAAACACAACGTAACATAATAATAAGGTTTTGTGATGATGAGTTGAGGTAGTGGAGGAACAGTAAACATTCCTTAGTGTAGCAGCAAAAATTAGGAAGTGCAGAAGTTAGTGCAGAAAGTCCAGTAATAATATTGTGCAAAAGACCATTTACAGGTTGGTGTGTGCGATGGTTTGGTGGTGTAGGTCAGTGTGTTTGTGCTTGTGTTGATTAGTCAGTCCAGTCTCAATGTTTTGAGGTAGTTGAGTTAAGCTGAGTGATAATGTTAGTGTGTGTGTATGTGTGTGTGTGTGCGTGTTTATCAGTCAGTCCCTTTTTGCTGAGGAGACGGATGGCTTGTGGAAAAAAGCTGTTGCACAGTCTGGATGTGTGTGCCCGAATGCTTCGGTACCTTTTTCCAGATGGCAGGAGTGTGAAGAGTGTGTGAGAGGGGTGTGTCCGATCAGCCACAATGCTGGTGGCTTTGCGAATGTATCGTGTGGTGTAGATGTCCTCAATAGAGGGGAGAGAGACCCCGATGATCTTCTCTGCTGTTCCCACTATCCGCTGTAGGGTCTTGCGGTCTGATATGGCACAGTTCCCAAACCAGACAGTGATGCAGCCGCCCAGGATGCTCTCGATAGTTCCTCTATAGAAGGTGGTCAGGATCGGTGGTGGAAGCCGGGCCTTTCTCAGTCTTCTCAGAAAGAAGAGACGCTGTTGGGCTTTCTTGTGCAGGGAGCTGGTGTTGAGGGACCAGCCGAGGGCCGTCTCCAGGTGGACGCCCAGGAATTTGGTGCTGTCGACGATCTCCACAGAGGAGCCGTTGATGCTCAGCGGTGAGTGGTCGCCTCGTGTCCACCTAAAGTCAACAACCATCTCTTTTGTCTTGTCAACATTCAGAGACAGGTTGTTGTCTTTACACCAGTCCGTTAGTCTCTGCACTTCCTCTCTGTACGCTGACTCGTCGTTCTTGCTAATGAGACCCACCACGGTCGTGTCATCAGCGAACTTAATGATGTGATTTGAACTATGTGTTGCTACACAGTCATGAGTCAGCAGTGTGAACAATTCAATTCAATTCAATTCAATTCAATTTTATTTATATTGCACCAAATCACAACAACAGTCGCCTCACAGAGCTTTATATTGTACAGTAGATCGTACAATAATAGATACAGAGAAAAACCCAACAATCAACAATATGACCCCCTATGAGCAAGCACTTTGGCGACAGTGGGAAGGAAAAACTCCCTTTTAACAGGAAGAAACCTCCGGCAGAACCAGGCTCAGGGAGGGGCGGTCATCTGCTGCGACCGGTTGGGGTGAGAAGGAAGACAGGATAAAGACATGCATTCAAAGCTCTTCTTTTGGATGTTGGCTGCCTTTCCTTCCCTTCTCTGTCAAGATGATCCCACTATTCACTAATGTTGAGGTCCAGGGTTTGGGGAGGCCAATACACAACTGATAGCATTCCATAATGTGTTTTTCT